ACAAAACTTAACTAGGATACAGATTTTTCTGACTCTTAATTCAATGGTTTTCCCCTTATATTATATTCCTTAATAAATGTTGTGTTAAATGTGCACAAATATATTAGGCAAATTGAAAAATAAAGGCTAAAAGAACTATGAAGATTTTCACCATATTCTTCAAGTTCTATTCTCAGTCTTTACTTGGTCAAGGTCTCCTTGTGGGGGATCATCCCAAGGTGAAATTCATATCCTCACTTCTCATTTCTGTGCCAAAGATTCCTATTTTGATTTTTCCAGCCTCCACCTGTCCCCTAGGCTCTAGCATTACATTTCTACTGCTTGGTGTATTTTCTTTGTTCCCCCAGAAAATCCCACATATTTAAATTGCACCATATATAACTAAGGCATCTTTAAAAAAAAAAAAAAAACTTGAAAAGCTGAAAGAAAAAGAAAACTTAATAGAAAGTATGGAGCACATTATATCTAAAGGGGAAAAAATAAACCCCAAGCATGAGGCAGTGCTTTAAATAACACTAGTCCTCAAGTTATCTGCTTCTTCCCTGGTCACCAATCAGCATTCGAATTACTAATCTGGCTTCCCAGGAAGCTCTACACCTGTAAAAGTCATTCTTCTCAAAACGAATGCATTTCTTAACATATGCTAAAGTTCAGTTGCTGTCTCCATGTTCAGAAATACTTTTATTCCACAATATTATATGAAATAATTATAAATATTAATAATTAAATATATCTATATATCTGGAATATATATCTACATATCTGGAATATAATTCCATATATAGGTGTGTATAGATATAAATTTATATAGATATAATATAGATATAAATTTATATTGATATAATATAGATATAATTTTTTATATATACATATGTATGTGTATATATACACACACATATATACACATATACACATATACACACACATATATACCTATATATATGTGTATATACACACACATATATACCTATATATATGTGTATATACACACACATATATATACGCACACATATAATTTTTTTTCTGGAAAAGCAATTAACATAGATTTTTGACCTCGTCTGAGGGATCAGAAAGGTTTGTCTAAGGAAATGACATTTGAGACTGTACAAAGGTCTTGGGGCAAGAGAAAGGAAATGACTGTAAAAGAAATATTGTACGAAACCTGGTCTGGAACAAAACATTATTTATCTCTTGACGTAGTTTGTAATCTCCTTCACTGAATAAATGTGAATTGTGATAAAACATTTGGCAATCTTAAATAATTGTTTAATTATGAGATGATATTTGTCACAAGGAACTAGTCACACACTCACCTACCTGGCAGTCAAGCGTTGGTGGATGTTTAAATTTTCCTTTCTATTTTGTCTAATTTCCCTTTTCCATAGATGTCTCTATTTTAAAAGAAACTTTTAAATTGGCCTCCTAGAGACTTTTTACCATGCTACAAGATTATAACAAAACTTTGACATATGATCATAGCTACACCATCTGGAAAGTTATAAAGTTATTGTTATTGTTTCAACAATTACTTCTAGGTTCTACAATTAGGCTAATGTATCAAAATGGGGGTGGTGGACATGGTGATAAAAGAAGCCCAGGGATAAGCAAGATTCAGTTTAAGTATGAAATTGTTGTCCTTTGGTATTTGAGTCCTATTTTTAAAAGCAAAATACAAAAGAGATGAGAGAGATGATCACATTTATATTTTGTAAAGATCAGTCTTTCTATATCACCATCAATAGAAATATCAAGCAAGCCACAAATATGAGCAACATATTTAATTTTTAAATTGTCAGTAGTAGCCACATTAAAAAAGTAAAAACCAGGCCAGGTGCAATGGCTCATGCCTGTAATCCTAATTCCTTTAGGGAGCCAAGGTGGGAGCATCTGTTGAGCCCAGGAGTTCGAGACCAGCCTGGGCAACATAGTGAGACCTTGTCTCTAAAAATAATTTTTTAAAAAATTAGCCAACTGTAGTGGTATGTGCCTGTAGTCCCAGCTACTTAGAGGGGCTGAGGTGGGAGGATTGCTTGAGACTGGGAGGTTGAGGATGCAGTGAGCAGTTATCAATACACTGTACTCCAGCCTGGGTTACAGAGTGAGGCTGTGTCTCAAAAAATAAAAATAAAAATAAAAAATAAAAAGAATCAGATGAATTAATTTTAATATTATAGTTAATATAGCCTAATATATTGGAAATATTACTATTCTTACATGTAGTCAGTGTAAAAAGTATTTACTCTGTTATCAACTTCAACTCTACCATACCATTCTGGAATATAAAGGACAAGTGTTAAAAATTTAAATGATAGAGAAATGTTTGTTTAATATTAGTAATTTTTTTTGTTTTACAATTTCATGGAAAAAATAAAGAACTTGAGGACTTTCATTTTTTCCCTAAATAAGATTCTAGTTTAGAATGTGCTCTGTTTAATTTCTATGAGTATGTTTTCTTATTGATGAGTTCCTGGGTAATTGAGAGACATTGTATACTTTATGTAGAGAAGAGATCTTCTTAATGATTACTTATCCAAATCATATTCACTGAATTAAAAATAATAGTGAATTCACTAATGCAATATTTTACCTATGAATTGGTGTCCATCCCAAAAACAGAAAACAAAATAAAAACATAATTGAAACTTTTTTTTGTTTGTTTGAGACGGAGTCTCGCTCTGTCGCCTAGGCTCACTGCAAGCTCCACCTCCCAGATTCGAGTGATTCTCCTGCCTCAGCCTCCCGAGTAGCTGGGATTACAGGCGCATGCCACCACGCCCGGCTAATTGCTAATTTTTGTACTTTTAGTAGAGATAGGTTTCACCATGTTGGTCAGGATGGTCTCGAACTCCTGACCTCATGATCCACTCACCTTGGTCTCCCAAAGTACTGAGATTACAGATGTGAGCCACCGCACCCAGCCTGAAGCTTGCTTTTAAACATCACTGATGAAAGACATAGAACTAGATATTTTTAAAGTGGCCTATTGTTTATAAAAATAACATTTTTCTTTTTTTAATGTGAAAATCCAAAGCCTGAAATATAGTACTTGAATTTCTCCAAATGTAAACAAAATTCACTGGTATCATTGATTCTATCAGCATCTGAAAATATATCCTGTACAACTATTCAGTGGATTATTCACTGGGCTTTTTACAGTTAACTTCATAGTAGAGAACTTAGGTATTCATCAAAGGAAGAAGTGAGGGGAATAAAGACTCAATTTTGCTATTTTTTTTTTTTTTTGAGACAGAGTCTCTCTCTGTTGCCAGGTTGGAGTACAGTGCGTGGTCTTGGCTCACTGCAACCCCTCTGCCTCCTAGGTTCAAACAATTCTCCTGCCTCAGCCTCCCAAGTAGCTGGGATTACAGGCATGAGCCACCACGCCTGGCTAATTTTTGTATTTTTAATACAGATGGGGTTTCACTATGTTAGCCAGGCTGGTCTTGAACTCCTGACCTTGTGATCCACTCGCCTCGGCCTCCCAAAGTGTTGGGATTACAGACATGAGCCACTGCACCCGGCCAATTTTATTCAATTGTTAAATCCTTTAGGACTATAGACTGTGTCTCAATGGCTCTGATTCCTAAGAAAATTGCCTGGCACATATTAGGTATAATAACAGCTAACACTTATGTAACATGTAAGCCAGGACAGAATCTTTTCTGAGTATTTTACATATTTTAAAATATTCATTATTCAAAACAATCTTATGAGTAGATACTATAATAATCTCATTTTATGGATGAGTAAATTGAATCCTGAGAATATTATATTACTGATATTATTCATTTATTTTAATGGCAGTGTTAATATAGAAGCTAACATTTATTGAAAGTTTCTTGAGTGATAGCTATTATTATGATTACAGATCTAAACTCAATCCTCTCCATAGCCCTATGAATAAGTACTATTTCTATGCTCATTTTATAAATCAGGAAATTAAGTTAAAATATATATTCTTTCAAAACCTTAAAATATATTTATTTACACCTTATTATCAAGAATGTTTGAAAATAAAATAATAAATATTTATTATTATTTTGTTACTTAATTGTTGTTAAAGCAGTTATAATTTATGGAGGGCTAGGCACCATTCAAGGAATTTGCATGTAATAACCCATTTGATCTTCAGAATAATCTGTGAGAGGTGGATACTATTATTATCATCACTTTATGGGTGAGGAAAATGAGGCGCACAGAGTTTGAGTAAATTGGTCAAGGTCACGCAAAGAATGACAATGTTGGGATTTATACTTAGGCAGCCTGAAATTGCATTTAGCAGAACTGCATTGAAGTTTTGGCTAAATTCAATGTTTGTCTGAGTAAGATGAATTGTGGAAATTTCCTTATCTCCCAAGTGAGTGAAGGAACAAATGCACTGATTATAATCCATTATGGTTTGATTGGTCTATTTTAACTAATACCTTTCTTTTTTGAACTATAACTATTCTAATTCAGAAGTTTTCCTGCTTTTAGAATTAAAATCCTACTTATACCATCACAAATATACATTCCAATTACTGAGGTTAAAGTGATTTCCAAGATACTTAAAAAGAAATTACAATTTTAAAACGTTTTCTTTCTATAATCTTCTCTATTAAAATAAACAAACTACCACTCAAATAATTAGTTTGCTTTAAAATAATCTTTAGAGCTAAAAGTTCAAAAGAGGATTTAATGGAATAAAAACAAAGAAACATTTATTGAGTTAATTTAACTCAGTGAATCTCAACATTTTATTTTATATTGTTATTTTGTCATCGGGTATTTAGGAAAACTATTCAGAGTTTTCTAAAATATTCACTGAATAACTATCATCGAAAAAGATAAACTGATTAACTTTATTTACTTGAAAGCTGAAGCCCTTTTTATGTTTATACAATGGAAATTTGCATATAGTCCTATTGACGGCATATTAATAGTGCAAGCAACATTTTAAAGCTTGACACTTCTTGATGCAAAATTATTCATTTTTTTCCATACATAGAAACCACACCATGTTGTCAATAAATAATTCCACTTTAATGGCAAAGTAATAATTTAGACAGATACAGGGTGCACATTTGCAAAAAAATATATGCAAGCTGGTTTACAAGCTAGAGGAACAATAAACCAATAGAAAATACATCATCCAGTTAAGTCCATTGACACCAAGTACTTATTGTTGGGGCTTTACAAAGACTACAAAACTTTTCAGATGATTTATTTCACTGTTTCTGCCTATTTACATGATATGTTACATCAAAATGTACAAAATATAAAATGTATACAGACAAATGTTTCACAAACTAGTTTAAGTTGTAAACTAGGTGGACCTACTGGGATGTATTGCAGGAAATTCTGTTTATGCTCATGTTTGGACTGTGTTTCTCAAAATGGCAGGGAAAGATTAGCAATTTTCTTAGATCACATATTATACAAGGGCAACTAGTCACTCATCCAGCTACATATATTGATGTTTCACAACAGATTTGATCCATGTTTGAGGCTTCAAAGTCAGGGTGACAATTCTATGTGCATAAATTCAGTTCGGATTTCCCTTAGGGCAATAGCACCGTGTAAGGACCTGTTGACTTTGTGACACTCTGAAAACTGCACAGACGTTTTGTGGTGGTGGTGTTGTTCTATAGCAACTGACCCATTGGTGGTCACAGAGAGTAGCACCAATTACACATCCTAAAAGTAACACATTTTCACACACTCATAGAAGAAGTCTATACCATGGCCTAGCCCTTGGGTTTCATAAACTTAAAACCTGTCCTTTGTGTGTGGTGGTAACTTCTCCAATGACTGATCAGTTTTCATGCACTCTCTTTAAAGCCTGCCATGATAGATGTACTTTCAGACAGTTTTACTTATCCAAAAATATATTGGCTTCATGTACAGTTTTGAAGCATGCTCACTCTAGCACTGATAGCTCCTGCATAGTCATAACAACTGTAAATACAGGACAAACACACCAGATAATACAGCTTTGAGGGTTTGCATTCTGTATTTGTTTGCAATGTACAGGAAATCTCAGCAAGTGAAACACCTCTTAACACCAACAGGATAAAATACAATTTTGTTTGTGTTTGTTTCGATTTGTGCAAGTTTTAAAAATTATTATTTACAATACCTACCCAGTAGACTGTGCAAATCTAACCTTCTTTTACAGTATAAACGCTTCCTCTTCCACAGTGACCTTACCGCTTCAGCGTTCTTTAATGCTGAATTTCTCATGTACAACAATAGCAATCAAAACAACATGCGTCAGAACTAATTAAAAAAAACAAGAACAATAGGGAAGGAAAGCCGAATAGTTGTGCTCATGCTGCATCTAGTGCTTCCAGCCCTGCTGGATAATAGTTCAAAATCTCCTGCCTTCTGAAACTCTTTCACTTAGAACTGGATGGAATTTCGCCACATGTCTTAGGTTTTAAGTGACGGTCAAAGAGCATTTCTGGGTTATTTTAATATTTTGGAGGATAGGCAAAGCGATCTATTCACAAGGCTAAAAATACTGATCTTTCTCCTATCCATTTCTTCAAAAAAAAAAAAAAAAAGAGAGAGAAAGATATATAGAGATGAGGCTACTGTGTTAACTGGTGTTGCTTGGTTGTAAATGAAAAGACAGTGGAAATTACTAATGGTTTAGGATTTAAACCAACTGTTAAACTGTCGTAGAAATCTGTTTTAAGGCAGTGAGACAGCACCATAGGAAATTTTCCTTCTTTCACTGAAAAGGCTCAAACAAATAAAGCCCTAAAAAAGCCTTTTATCAGTGTTGACTAATAATTGGTATAAAACTCTTGTTAAGGGAGTGGGAAGGTGGTTTAAAAAGACCACTGTGGTAAAAACAACCTTATAAAACCAGTGACTCATTACTAAAAAGTTGGTGGAGCACATCATGAGAACGTGGCAGTTAGAATTAAATTGGCACTTCTCCAGTTTGCCACAGTAGTGTTTTCCTGGTGGTTGCACAATTCCATTTGTGCTTATGGAGGACTGGCCTCTTGGATTTGTTCTGGAATGGGGTGAGCGCACAACACAAACACTACTGAAGCCCTGTGACCAGCACCGTGTGGCACAAAGGAGGTTGGACGGATCAGAAAGATGGACCCTGCCTGGGGAGAACAGCCCCTCAGAGGAAACAAAAGGAAGGGACAAAAAATGGTCTGCATTGTAAACTTTTAAAGAGGAAACAAAGAAAGTCCAGTTTGGCTATCCCATGTGCAATCTATTCAGTTGCCCTGTCATTAGGGTCCTTTCCAGTTGAGTAATGGAGCCTTCTATTACTCCACAGATATAAAAAATGCTTAGAAATAAACTAAAGTTAAGCTTCCATTGCAATTTAGCATCTTGGCGGTTCAGACTTAGTTCTGCTGCCTCCTTGGAGACCACAACTCTGGGTCAGGGACCTTGACAGGGTGCTTTTATACTGGCAGTGGTTTAGTGAAAATACCTTTCTTTTGAAACATTTTTTTAAAAGCAGAGTCTTTTCCCCTAACTTTTTTCACCCTCTAGAGAGTAGATTCAAGAGACGAATCCAAAATGTCTTCATGGTGGCTGGTGCTTTCGCTGTCGCAGCTTTGTGTGCTCGAGTAATTGGCTGCTTCTTGGAGTTTCATTAGCATATTCATCTGAAGAAAGAAAAAAAGACATCGATGTAGGCAATGATGCATTGAGTAAGCCAACCCATAAAAAAACAAGGCCCTGAGCCACACCAAAGAGCTGTCTTATGCCATCCAAGTGACACAGGAAAATAATTTTAGATTTTTTACTCATTGCCCCTGGCTCCTATGCTGTTTCTCCCAAACATGACTACAACACCAAACCATAAGGACAAAATAGGGCCTCTAGATAACTCTTTTATTTGGGGTTGTGAATGAATACTGCTCCAGCAGGGAGACTGGAAAGGAAACTGTATCACAGCTGGACATCTGGGTTCGTTGCTGGAAAGTACGCCAAGCTTCCCAGTTTTTTGGCTGGGAGAAGCAGAAAGCATTGAATGGCAACTGAAAGTCGTGAATGTTCATACACACACAGACGCACACAGAGGCACACACGCACCATCCCTTGAGAGAAGGAGGGGATGGAGAGGAATGAAGCCAGCTGCTGCACACAAGCACACCATCTGCTGTTTAGGAGCTGACCTCGGGAGGAGGTGACTGAATGAAGCGGACCATGAGTGTTTGAAGAGGGAGAAGGAAAGAATTACTGTCAAGTTTGTGTTGTTGAATTTCTGGCTAAAATATGATTGATATATCACTGAAAACAAAAACCATCATCTGGAACAATAGCGGCTGTCTCAAGTTTCCCAGCCTTATAGGAGAATGGTAATGTTTGTTCTAGTAAAAGGGACATATGCATGAAAGCACCTGGGGAGAAAGACAGCTAGCATTTCCATCTATTATAAAATAAAGAGCAGTCACCTTGCTTGAATTTTGATAGATCTGGAGCGCCACTGTTAGACATGGACTTTTTTTTTTTTTTTTGAAAAAAGACTGTTTAAAGGCAAATTGTGAATAAATGGTTCAATGATTTTAGAAAGCACAGAAAAATTGGCACATGTCTTTATGACGGTAATGGACTTGTTTTCTTTTCTTTTTTTTTTTGAGACGGAGTCTCGCTCTGTAGCCCAGGCTGGAGTGCAGTGGCCGGATCTCAGCTCACTGCAAGCTCCGCCTCCCGGGTTCACGCCATTCTCCGGCGTCAGCCTCCCGAGTAGCTGGGACTACAGGCGCCCGCCACCTCGCCCGGCTAGTTTTTTGTATTTCTTAGTAGAGACGGGGTTTCACCGTGTTAGCCAGGATGGTCTCGATCTCCTGACCTCGTGATCCGCCCGTCTCGGCCTCCCAAAGTGCTGGGATTACAGGCTTGAGCCACCGCGCCCGGCGGACTTGTTTTCTTATCAAGGGTTTTGATAAATTGTAACAATTTTCATATTACCTAATGCATACTAATTTTATTATTCTATAATCAAAAGGTTTTTTTTTTTTTTCCAACTTACAGAAATAGAAAGGAGAAATCTAAAAAACGATTCCTTGGTCACACGTTAAGCTATGCATGTTTGTGTGCTCAGTATAAAATGTGTGCTTGATAAATGCTTGTGAAATAAATGATAAACTGGTAATCACCAATTTCAGCAATAATTCCTTTCTGACAAAGAGACTACAGTTACAGCATAGTTTGAAGTCATTTTAATAGTCCTCAGGACAATATGTTTTAACATAATTTTCAATCTAACTCTCTTAATTTATTAAATAAGCTACATAAGGTTATGAAATAAAAGTAGTTGGTGGTAACTTTTTAAACCCAGTAAGCCAAAAAGTCAAATGTCTCCTTCAGCATAGTTTCTCTCCTACTCTCCTCTCTCTCTCTCTCTCACCCACACTCCCACCTTCCTACCTTCATGTCCATTCATATTCCTTCTCCCATTTATTTTATCAATCTGTCACTCATTAGCAGCTGCCTGTATGTTCAAGCATTTGGGTGAAACTGATCCATAAAATAAAACTGAGTTTTGAGCACTCAAGTAATTTAGTAAGAGTAGACATGATAAATGATATCTTTTTTAAAAGATACAATTGTATCTTAGGCACAAAAGTTTGAAATCACTTGAATGCTGGATGTTGTAAAAGTTTCATTGTGTAATAGTATTGTCATTAAAGTCTTAATTTTTTAAAATGGTGCCATATAGTAAATATGTTCCATTATAATACATTCCACATCTCAGATTCATAATAAATGAATACAGTGGGATTTACTTTGCCTTTGCCTAGTATTATTTTGTGCATTCAAATCAAGGGAGATTACAAGAGAAGATTATGTATGATTTAGTCGTTATCGTGATACATCACAATTCTCCAAAAAGTATTAATATTTTTCCTCTCTTCTTCCCCACTTCTTCCCCACACTCACTACGATGGTTTGCATGTGATATGCCCCTTCCAAAACTCTTGTGGAAATTTTATCCCCATGGTGGCAGTGTTGGGATGTGAGTCCTAGTAGGAGGTGTTGAATCATGGGGATGGATTCCTCATGAACAGATTAATGGCATTCTGGTTAGGGGTCAGTGTGTTCTCACTCTGGAGGGAATGGATTAGTTCCTGTGCGAGAGCAGGTTATTAAAGAGTCTGGCTTCTTCTCTCACCATGTGGCCTCTCTGCACACTCCCACTCCTATTCCACTTCCCACCATAAGTTCATGCAGCATGAGGCCCTCACCAGATGCAGCTGCCCAATCCTAGACTTTCCAGCCACCAGAACGATGAGCCAAATGAATCTCTCTTCTTTACAAATTGCCCAGCCTCAAATAGTCTGTTATAGCAACACTAAATGGAATAGGACATCTATAGTCATAAATTTAGTGTTTATCATTTCTAACACCTTGATCAAGTCCTTATCATCACTGTTACTTACAAATCTGCTAAGCTTCCAGATTCCATCCTATCTCCTTCAATCTGCCGTCTCTCTCTACTCTGTTACAAAAGTGATCTTTAGAAACTGCAGGACTAACTAGGTAAATCATGGCTCAGACACCTTTGATGGTTCTCCACTGTCTCTGTGATAAAGTTTTAACTTCCTGCAGTGATAAACAAGGCTTAGCATGATCTAGCAACTGTATACTTCTATAGTTTTAATTCCTACTGCCAACTGGTGTGTAGTTCCCTAAACTCATCATTTCTATTATACTGTCATCTAATGTTTCACATTCTATTTCTTTAATTTTGGTTGTTTTCCTCCAACCATATGGTGAACTCCTATTAATCATTCAAGATCCAGCTCAAGCATCTCCTCTGTAAAGCTTTATTCTAACTGCTTCCTCTATGAACTCACAATTTTACCTAATATGTGCCTCTATTATGTTACTGCAGTTTATATAGTTAGCAGTGTCTCTTCGCTACCTGATTTTAAGCTTCTTGAGATCAGAAATGATACTGTAGTTATCTCCTGATCACAAGGTCTTAGCATTAAATACTTATTAACATTCGCTTTGTTGTTAATGGTGAATACACACTGTATTTTTTAAATAATGTGAGATATACCAAAAACTTGCATCCTTGTTCAGATTCAAAAAGTCTCTCTCCTATCTTCTTCACTTTCTTTGCTATACTCATTGCTATGGGGATTTCTGACACTAAATAGTGGATGTTTTCTAGGATTTCTGATTTAGAATGGACTGAAAATATATGTTGGCTTCATGCTAGTAATTACAGAAATATATAGAAATAAAAACAGATAGATCATCACCAGCCTGACCAACATAGAGACATAGAGAAACCCCGTCTCTATTAAAAATACAAAATCAGTCAGGCATGGTGGTGCATGCCTGTAATCCCAGCTACTCTGGAGGCTGAGGCAGGAGAATTGCTTGAACCCGGGAAGTGGAGGTTGCGGTGCGCCGAGATCGTGTAATTGTCCTCCAGCCTGGGCAATGAGAATGAAACTCCGTGTCAAAAAAAAAAAAAAAAAAAAAAAAGCAAGGAAGCAAGCAAGAAAGCAATCAAGAAAAATAGATTGAAATATTTATTTTTTAAAACCAGAGAAAACCTGCCAAATATTTAGTTTTAGATGATGTCTTTTACCATTTAGCATGCAAGACCTCACAACTCTCTGTTTCTTAAGATGTTTAATAGAGCAGCAGGTTAGGAACCAGGAATTTTTTTTACCCCAATTCTCATGCCAGAATGGGAAACCCTGAATTTGTTTCCTGTCCTAGAAGACAAGTGCATTCAGAGCCAGGAAAAAAAGTGCTTTATGGGGTGAGCTGACCTGGACTATTAGAACCGAGAAAGTTGAGGGCATTTCCTAAGGGTTTCATACTCTACAGACTAAAACTGAGAACAAATCTTACAAACACCTCTCCTTATAAAACAGACACATTATATAAAATCTGCAGAGGTAGGACTGGAATTTTTGAGGAATTCAGATTAAATAATCCATACTCATATTCTAAAGCTTATGTTTACTCTATTAATCATTCTATCAGCAATGATTTAGTGTATGCTCACAATTATGCTGGATCCAAACCAATTTCATCACCACTGTTGATTCCTAACTACGAATCATCTAAAAGGTCAGGTACCATGTAATAAAAATACAAGTCTGGGCTCTTAAGGAATATATCACCTAGATCAGAAATCAGCAGGAAATTCCTGGAATCTAAGTAGGTCTATGTATATACTTCAGTGACTTTATGAAACTCTTAGAATTGTATGCCACATTTTCAGTGTGTATGCATTTTGCTGGGGAGAGGATCTTGAAAGTTTATCAGATTTTCAACAAGAAACTCCCAAAATGTTCAGCTCAGATAATGATGATGACGTGTGTGTGTCAGGGTTGTTGGTGTAAGAGTATTCCCTAAAATATCAAGTAATTTTATGTCCTCAGGTATAGTCATAGGTTATGATTTTTGATTATTTATGTTTTGTGCTTGTTTGAGTTAAGAAACATAATGAATTTTATTTCAGTATCTTTTCTTTCTGTATTAGTTGTAAAAGTCCAATAAGCTGTTTAGTCATAGAATGGTGAGAACATTTCACGTTTGATACCAATATATTGAAAGTAATCTGTAAAAATAAAAAATAGATACATAAAAAGCATTTTTTCCTAATAATACTACATACTTAATGTTTTCAGAATATTCATACTTTGGAGTTTTACAGACTTTTACTTCAATTATTCCACTATTTTAAAAAGTAAATAAAACATAACTTCCATTTGACTTCCAAGTTGGTTTATCCTTCGCTACAGTAGGCAACAGAAGACTCACTCTATAAAATTAGTCAGGTTAGTTGATATAGCAAAATATTTTTTAGTTCTCCATAAGTACATTATACCATAGTTTTTTGTTTTTCTATAAGAACAAAATTGAGTTTTCTCTTAAATGCCTATTGAATTGAGTCATAATACAGAAAATTATATTTAAATAAATATATATTAAATTAAAAAATTATATACACAATTTAATGGATAATAAGAGAAAAATTATAGTCTAGGAGTTCATTCTGGTTATAATGTTTCTTGTTTCTTTTTTAAGCATACAAGCTTGGTTTTCACTTTAAGATTCTCATCCATGGAAAGCAGACCAAAGATAACAGGGTTAAAACTGTTCCAAATATTGCCTAGGATAACAAATGTCTTTGCTAGAAATGACTAAGTATTAATGACTATACACCGCAGTCAAGATTACACAGGAAAAAACGAACATCTGATTCTTACCAGGGGATCTCCTTCTGTGTCAGTTTGAGGAATGTGCTTTGAGGTTGTGGCTTCCTTAGTGGATGTGCAGCCTTCATATCCAACGTCTTCTGGTCGCAGCTGAAGTAAGGCTGGGCTCTCCTGAGGCAGAGATGCTGAGCTCCATGGATATGTGTCAAGCACCCACTTTGAAGGATCTTCCCATGGTGTGCGTTTCCCATACATCTAAAAGTTGACCACGTGTTTAGCATATATAAAACACATCTCTATTCAGTAAGAAAGGGGACTACTAGTTGGATGTGATTTTTTGACATATTGAGTTCTTAAGGGACTTTCAAGAGAATTAAGTATTTGCATACAATTTTCCAGATTTAAAACATGTAACTGTCTACACAGCTCACTTTAAACTTGAAGGCTAGACAAAACAAAGCTGAATATTTGGAATAGATGTCAGCTTTTAGGAAAGAATATACGGGAGGTTTATTATAAATAAACATAGAAATGACTGCCCACATTTACTTTTACTAGTAATTTGACAAACCAAGAGAAAACTAAAGGTTGAAAAATAAAAGCTTCAATTATGGAAGATTTTTAAAAATATGCTTGACATTAAGTAGAGGTATCTACTAAAGTGTACCTTGGAAAGATGGAAATAAAAGAAAAGGAACTTATTTTTTTCTGCCTAATTCACTCTACTCAAACTTTCTTTTAGAGTAAGAATACTTTCTCTGATAACAATTTTCCCATGATCAACTTGCTCTTTAATCCCATTGCTTTCTGTAAAAACTCTTTTTAGATGTTTGTGTTTCAGGCTACTAGTACAAGAGGATAAAAAATAGGAAACTGAGTTATCAGGTTTGCAAGAACCCTTATTGTGCAATTTGCCCAATAAGGAAGAGCTGATATAGCCTGGGTAAAGTACTGGCAGTGGAACAGAAGAATTAGATAAATCCAAGGGATGTTAAACATTTTTAAGCTGGAAGCAAAGCTGAATCTAAACTAGAAAGGGCACCCTGAAGAGAAGAAATGAGACATTGTTTTTAAAAAACAAAGTATAATATTACCAGGGCACAGAAAAAAGTGAAAATTAAGAGAAGGGGGCAGTAACATAGGGACACTTGTTCTTAAATTACTTTCCCTCCCCATTTGACTTGCTGGACAATCCTAGTTAGCAGGTGCATATTTGGTCTCAGATGACATACTTTGGTTTGTTGTTAGATGGTTGTTTTGTATAGTTTGTTTTGGTTCAGTAAAGACAAAAGGGAAAATGGTGGACATCAACATCATAAAAACTTCATGGACCGCCTTGGAGTTTTCTTTTGAGTTTCTTCTGGAGAAGTTGGACTTACCCAAAATAAAAGGGAGTCTAGGTACTGATATCTGTGCATTTCCTTAGGAGATGATAACATAGGTAACAATCATTATACCTTTATACATTTTTTTTTTTTTTTTTTTTTTTTTTTTTGATACCGAGTCTTTCTCTGTCACCCAGGCTGGAGTCCAGTGGCTGATTTCGGCTCACTGCAAGCTCCGCCTCCCAGGTTCACGCCATTCTCTTGCCTCAGCCTCCCGAGTAGCTGGAATTACAGGTGCCCACACCATGCCCAGCTAATTTTTTGTATTTTTAGTAGAGACGGGGTTTCACCGTGTCAGCCAGAATGGTCTCGATCTCCTGACCTCGTGATCCGCCTGCCTCGGCTTCCCAAAGTACTGGGACTAAAGGTGGGAGCCACGGTGCCCGGCCACTTTTTTTTCTTTTTTTTTTTTTAATAGTTATCTTGTTTTAGAGCAAAAATTTCCTCTCAGTTATAAACTTACTTTATAGATGTAACGTATAGCATGCTACACAACTTAAACCAATTGAAGAAAAACGTGTATAATTCTTGGAAAGCTTAATTATGTTTGTTTGTTTGTTTTAATGTCAGTCTAGAATCAATCAATTCTAGGTTTTCAAAGAACCAGCCAGGACAGCAAAATTGGAAGAGACCAATGAAAAGCTAAATGGGCCAAACACTGTATTTCCGAGTGAAATACATATTGTAGAAAAAGAATTGAATAAAGAAGAAATCTAAATATTCAGAATGAGATGAATTGATAGTTTTTTTTTTTTTTTTTTTTTGAGACGGAGTCTTGCTCTGTCACCCAGGCTGGAGTGCAATGGCCGGATCTCAGCTCACTGCAAGCTCCGCCTCCCGGGTTCACGCCATTCTCCTGCCTCAGCCTCCCGAGTAGCTGGGACTACAGGCACCCGCCACCACGCCCGGCTAGTTTTTTGTATATTTTTTTTAGTAGAGACGGGGTTTCACCGTGTCAGCCAGAGATGGTCTCGATCTCCTGACCTCGTGATCCGCCCGTCTCGGCCTCCCAAAGTGCTGGGATTACAGGCTTGAGCCACCGCGCCCAGCCAGAATTGATAGCTTTTTAAGAAAGAATCACCAGAATAAAAATCAAAATCCACTGTGTCACCAACATCTTTTCCAACTAGAACATCTGGCAGAGTGCATTCCCCATAAGATTTTTCACCAAAAATAATCAGCCTTCATCTGAAGAGATTGTTTTATTACTCTAAACTTTGAGTGTCATTTTTGCTACCAGGCTTTGTTTCTCCACTTCTCTCTCCAATCCAAGATTCTTTGTTGCCAGTACATCCATGGGAATGGATCATGACAGATATGATTCCTTTGCTTCTTGCTCCCCTAGAAATATTTTCAGCTGATAGACTTTTCTGGCCTAGTACAGTCTTCAATAGCAATGAAAACTGTCTACCCACCAAAGGATTTTCCAATTTTTCCCTTCCCATGTGCTGGATTCCCCTCCTTCAATAAGCCCTATATCACGGTTGATTCATCTTTCACACTAACGTACTACTAAACATCCTGTACCTTAGCAAGAAATGAGACATTTTTATCCCTCTTCAAAAATAATTTTGAAATATCTCTCAGTTTTAGTTTGAGAAACTAATCCTTCAGTGATTATACTTTTGCCCAAATGGAAACTTTATAGAATTATAATTCTCCAAATAATGTTCTATAAATAATATTTATTTAAATAAGAAAAAAGAACCCATGTGCCTTTTGAAATAAGAGCTAAGAATGCTAAGCATTTTAGATATTATCATTTCAGGGTTTTTACAAAGATTCCTTTGCTTTCTATCTATTAGTAAGCAAATATTAAATGGGGAGACATTTATTTATAAATACTTAGATAATGGTTTATTAAAACCAAAACCATAGCTAGAGAACAAATAATGTATCTAAATATTAACTTTAAAATTATGAGTTCTAAAATTTTCATAAAATGATTTTTTTTTTGTACAAATAATCAACTTTGAAAGAGTCAACTTACATCCTAGGTAGTATAATAGTTTTAGAAGAATTCTGAAACACAATACACTATACTTGAAAAATAAAAACATTTGTATAAGCTTTTATTTTGTTGGAGGCACTTGCTTGGGATAGATTGGCTCATACCCTTGAAAGTGTTAGATTTGATTATTTAAATCTAGAGTAGAACCAATCAATAGCATTATTTAGGATCTTAGCTTTGTCTCTGAGGCTTCAGAGTATCCTCATAAAATTAATCATGTTCACCAGAGCTATCATTTTAGTTCTGAATACTGCCATGCCATTCTACTAGATAAAGAGAGCATGACAGTAAAAGGGAGTAAAAGAGGCAAAATAGATGGACAATTTTTTAGATAGTAAAATAAAGACAACACAGTATTATAGATGATAGAATGTGGAAAACATAAACTATATCTTAATTCTAGTAGTAGTTGTAAAAACCAGAAATAGAGATGTCTTGGCTGAGTTATTGAAAAGGAGATGAAATTCTTCCTCAATCGAGTGATTATGTAAATAAATTTTAAAGAGTTTTATAATTCTACAATTTCAAATCAAACTTAAGGAAATAGCAATACTTATGGGAAAATGACATGTATTTTGTTGGAGAAACAGGGATTTCTTTTAGTGATACATTTTCATTTTTTAGTTAGGAAAAAACAGAAGGGCCTTGGTTGCAGGGCCTCAAGATATAAGGCACATGAGAGCAAGAGCAAAGAAGCTGTGAAACCAATATGTCATAGATCAAAAGACCAACTGACTCTCTTAGAATTTAGAGTACTCCCTCCAAAATAGTAAAGGACCCTGCAAGTGATATTAAAGGGCTTCCAACAATGAAGTATACTAAAAACAGGAAACTTATAAGCAAAAGCTACTTGTTAAAAAGTGTGTGAATAAAAGGAAAAAACAATTCCAGCCTGAGCAACCTGGTGAGACCATGTCTCTAAAATAATAATAATAACAATAAAAATAACTGAGAGTGGTGGTGTGTGCCTATACTCCCATCTACTTGGAAAGCCTCATCACTTGAGCCTAAAAGTTTGAGACTGCAGTCAGCCATGGTTGTACCACTGCACACTGACCTGAGTGACAGAGTGAGACCCTGTCTCAAAAAAAAAGAAGAAGAAAGAGAAAGAGAGAGAGAGAGAGAGAGAGATGGGGGAGGGGGAGAGGGAGGGAGGGAGGAAAAAAGGAAGGAAGGAAGGAAGCAACGAAAGAAGGAAGGAAGGAAGGAAAAGATAAAGGAAATTATGTGATAAGAGTATAAATGGTCAAGGCTCATGTAAACATGGCTGTGTCATAAGATGTAGAACTGTGCAATTAATTAGCTATCTAATAAAAACAATCTGTAAACATCCATGACAACCATTTGGACTTAAATGTGTAGTTGTTGTAATAACTGTGCCTTTTCTTTCTCTTACAAATTTGTTCCCAGAACAGGCAAAATATTACAAACTATTTGCTCTTGAAAACTTTATTGCTCTATTTATATAGTTCATGCCTTTAGCTTTCTGCATAAATACCCAGATTTTCTTTTGCTTTTAAAATAATTTTTTTGCTTTTTTTTTAAAAATAGTAATGAAAATTGAGTACTATACCTGAAGACCCTCTCTCACTGCCTCCAGAATATAAGGTACTAAAGAATAGTTCCAGAGATCCATGAACCACACTCTAGAACCTTCTACATCCATGGGGCAAGGAAGGAAAAGTCGGGGACCTGAGAAGAAACAAATAACAAAATATTTTAAGAATTATATTTAATAATCTAAACACATATCGAGACACCATTTTGGAATATAATATATTTCTTGCAAAATTCCTAGAAAATTATATTATTTGCCAGCTTGCTTATTATTAAAGCATGTTTACTGAAGACCCAATATCCTAGCCTCTTCTATCTTTTTACAATAAATATTAATCTAGGACACAATATACTAGAGTTAGGAGAAGTCATAAAAATCATAATCCAGTTATCCTGTTTCATTTTACAAGCAACAAAGCTGTGCTTTGTTGAATGAATTGCCAAATATAAAACATGTCATTATTTGCAGCATTGGGAACTGGCATGAGTGTTCTGGTCCCAGTGTAGAATTCTTCTTCCTAATCTAAACTGTGTTTACAGTGAGTACATTTTTATGATGCATAACAATGTGAAAGAGACTTCTGTACATGTAATTAAAGGAGGAATCCAAATGTAAATATCTTTATGCAAACTAAAAGAGAAATAACTCAGTTGTGTCTTCATGAAAAACACAAAACACCTAAATTATCTGCAAAACATCTAAATTATCTCTAACTAAAATCTTTCCTCACAACTTTATTTGACATGAGCTATTTAGCCAAATTTGTTTTTTAGCATAAAACGTATCCTAAATTGATACTCTTCATTTCCAGTGGTTATCTGATTTTTAGATATTTGTCCATAGTGAACTTATTTGATCTCGGTAATATTTTAGTAAAACATAACTGTCAGACACAGTGGATTTAATTGGAGATACAAAGAAGAAGAAAGTAAACTTTCAGAAGGGAAAAAAATAAATCTTTGAAAGCTTGAAAAAACATTAGATTTGCTTGTTATTTTCTACCATCCAATCTGGCCATCTTTACCAAGTACTGTTAGTTCCTGGAAAATGATATATTATAATTTTGGAACTCACCAATGGTAACGTCAGAAGAACTGTGTGTTTCCAAAAAACTGTTGAGATGATGCCACGTCTTAGGAATCCAATCTATAATTTTGACTAGGTCATTATTGCGAATGTTCCTTTCAATTTCTATCTCTATGAGTTTTCTTCGAAGATATCTGCCTAAAAAGCCTTTCACTGGTTCTGTATGATTTGCACATAATACCCACCTACAAAAAGAAAAAAAAAATCAGAATTTTTTATATAAATTAAATTTTACATTCACAGTGATTCTTTATCATTATTATTTATTTATTCATAATTACTTTCCAATAGAAAGTAATAATGTTCCCATTTCAATTGGTGGCTACATTTTAATGATCAAAGGTGTTAGGAGGTCTACTAGCATGAGAACTATAATGTAGCTAACTCTACTTTTTGAGCTAAAAAGAAGCTCATGTGCGTCAGAAGTGAGGGGGAGTCTACATGCTGAACACTCTTCTGTAGGAGAATCACAAATCCTGAAATAGCAACTCTCTTCATATTTCTCACACTTAGAAGGAATATGCTCTACTTTAACCAGGGACACAGTGAACAGAAAAAACATTTACTTTTCTTTTTTCTTTCCTTTTGTTTTGTTTCGTTTAAAGAAACACATCTGATTACAGGTTGAAGATCATGAAATGTTCGCTTGAGAAAAGAGTGTCAGAAGTGAGAATTATTTTCACACCGCAGGTCATCTCTGGCAAGATTTGTAAAAGTACAAGTGGAAAAACAACCCCCAAAAACAAACAGAAAGAAACAGTGCCAACCCCCTCCCCTGCCCACACACATACACACACACCAAAAAACAAAACAAAACAAAACCTTCCACTTAACTTTACCTGAAATTGTGATGCAGCTCTAGATTTGGTGATGAAGAAACTCCCTGATTCATTGTTCCAATAATATATGGACTAGAAAAAAAATAAAAAGAAAATTTTCATTTACTGGAGGTAAAAGTGATTAATTTGTTAAAATTATCTTAGAAAACTACTAGGATAGATATGGATTATTCCATTTCAATGTTTGTCTTTTAAAAGGTAATTCTGTAATGGAAAATGACAAAGATTACTGGATTAGAAATTAACACTTGAGTTTCTAATTCCAGCTCTGGCATCAAGGCAAGGCATTTTCTCTCTCTGAGCCTGAGTATATTTCTAATTTACATCATTTGAGTAAAGAGTTTAGTTAGTATAATCATAGGGGTTTTGCCCAGTCTAACATCTTATAATGCTTATGATAAAGTTCATTCATTTTTACTATTTTAATATTTCAGTTATGTTAAAGATTATTAATACTGTGAGAAAATTTGTATTCTTTCAATCCTTATTTTATGCTGATCTGTTTGTAACTTCAAAAAAATCTCTAGCAGAGATAATTGGAATATTTGCCACTATTAAAACTAATTATTTTATGCTGATATTCTTATATGTCCTTTCTTTAGAGGCCATGCCACAATGAATCTTCAGTGGGTTTTTTTTTTTTTTTTTGAGACGGAGTCTCGCTCTGTCACCCAGGCTGGAGTGCAGTGGCCGGATCTCAGCTCACTGCAAGTTCCGCCTCCTGGGTTTACACCATTCTCCTGCCTCAGCCTCCCGAGTAGCTGGGACTACAGGCGCCCGCCACCTCGCCCGGCTAGTTTTTTGTATTTTTAGTGGAGACGGGGTTTCACCGCGTTAGCCAGGATGGTCTCGATCTCCTGACCTCGTGACCCGCCCGTCTCGGCCTCCCAAAGTGCTGGGATTACAGGCTTGAGCCACCGCGCCTGGCCTATCTTCAGTGGGTTTTAAGATTTTTTAATACCTTACTTTAACCTTTCCTTTTATTGTAAATAGTTAAAATCATACTCATTAATAGAGGGAGCTATATCTGAATGTATTAAGTTTATCTCTATAGAAAGGTTGAATTTAAACTTTGATATGAACTGAGAATGAAACCAGATCTCTAAAGGCTCCCTTTAGTTTTTAATTTCTATGATTAAAACTATTCCATCATTGATAGTGGTTTCCCAAATGTTCATCATGTCTGCAGAAGCTAACATCATCAAGGAAGTACTGTTTCCATAAAAGTGCCTGGGATATGGTTGTTGAATGAATACATAGATATTCTAAGGAATGCATATGGAGTCTTTAAAACTATGGTATATTCTTAAAGAGGGTTTCTCAAATTAATGGCAGCCATTGTAAGTCTAAAAATAATAGCTACTCGGGTAGTTCATATGTTAATTAGCTGGAGTTAATCATTCTACAGTGCACATCTACTTCAGAACATCATGGTTTACACAATCAATATGCACAGTTTTATCTGTCAATTTAAAAAATAAAAATTAAATATTAAGGAAATTTAAAAAATTAAAAAACAAAATGCATACAGGCACAAGAAAGCACATTTGATGATAATTATTTCCTATTTCATTATTCAAAATATTTGATAAGCATACCATTTGTTGTATTTACAATTGAGAAAACCATTGAAGATATCACTCAGAGAGCCCACATGATGAAGATTATCGAGAATTATTACAACTGGGAGCTCCACTCCATTATTATCAGCACTGCACTGTTCAGCCAGGTTAGCTAGATATTGTTGCAATTCCTTTTAAAAAATGAAGAAAACAGATATGTCAATGATAAATTTATACTAATGGCAAGCTGTTAATATTTTAGAAATAGCATGCTTTGTCCTCTATTCAGTTTCTTTCATTAAAGTCATAGATTATTCAACCGATGTAAAATCTTTCTCTACAAATCAAAAACCATATATTGCTGACAGAATAGTTTTTTAAATAAAAGTGAGAAAAAGGAAAGCAATAGAAGATCCAGTACCAAACACCTGCAGCAAATATAAAAGTATAAACAAGAAGGCATATTTCTCAGTGGTTTTCTCCCTGAAAGAAAAGCCAAAATGAGTTCTTAATATGAACTCTTATGATAAACCATACATATTGAGATTTTATTCTGAGTTTTGGTATTCAATGATAAAAGTAAATTTTAGCAACCTTAATATTTCAAGTATGAACTAAATTCAAAATGGCACTTCTGAGGTTCCACTAATATTTTTAGTATGTTAATTCCAATTCATGTAGATGGGGTATATCTAAAAATACAGCCATAGGACCTTGATAAAAGTACACTTATTATTTATTTATAATCTGCATGCAATTGTTGTAATTTTAAACAAAGACAAAATTAGTTATATTTCACCTGGTGAAATATAACATTAGCATTTAGCATCTCTTGAGTTTTTTGGTTCTTTTACAGGTATTATTCCTGTCTAATAGCTTTTAATCTAAATATGATAACCAGTTTGCTGATTGACTGCTCTCACAGATGGGTAGGCCAGGAACATAATTAGGTTTCTTAAAATTATCCTAATCAGTAAGAACATTTCCATAATATTTGCATATTTACAATGACATTTCCAATTTGCAAATCGTGCTCAGGGTTATAAAACAATTCCATGATTCTGGTTTCTGGCAGCCAGGTAAATATGTGAATTGCTCACTCTAGATGCAACCTCTCTCTGTCTGTAACACCACTGCTGAAATAAAAGTAGGAGATAAAACACAGGCCAGGATTTTGAGGCATTTAGTAAGTTTTATTTATGTTGAAATATAAAAATGTATTAAAGAAATAAAGTACTATTTGTTTTCTATTGAGCTAGTCACATAAAATAAATCTTGCCTAAGACACAGAATGCAGAAAAATATGTTTAAAACTGTTGAATATTCTGGAGAATTCTATTAACTTTAAAAGAAAAAAATAAAATTTATGTCAGAAATTTAGCTACATTAAGTCACTCATTTGTTTATAAAATATTCACTGTCTATCTGCTACATTCATAGCCTTAGACCAAGCCCTGGGTATACAAAAATAGTGAAGTCTGATTCCTGCTATCAATGGACTGTAAGTTGGTTTAACATTTATTATGAACTGCATCAAGTACTTTTCTGGACATGGGGACTACAAAGGGTAATCAGGCTGTTTTCCCTGTAAGCTCTAAGAGTTGTCACATTAGGGACTTGAATTTAAATGATTTCAATATAATATCATAAATATATTAGGAGATATGAGAACTCAAGGGAAGAGATTTAGCCTAGCTGCTGGGTGTCAAGAATGGTTTTCTGGAGGAGGTAACACTGGAGCCTGAGTGGGGTGGTAGGCACACAGGTAAACGATAATTTACAAAATGCAAGGTAAAACATTCCATGAGAGAAGATAAAGGAGGCATGTGGCCTATAGGAGGGAAAGAGATTAATTCCAACTGGAGCATCCTGCTGGCACCAAGGATTTAGAGATAAAACACAATTTCTGTCTTTCAGGAACTTAGAGTTGATAAGCAGAGAAGCAGGTCAGCAAGTCATTCACAATACAGTGTGCTAAGTGAAATGCACAAAACATTATAGGTAGACTTAATCCAGACTTAAGGTTCACAGAAAAACAGAGTACAGTGGTTAAAAGGGGGGGAAAAAAGATCGAAGTCTAAAGAATAGAAAGTGAAACCTGAAAAGTATAAGTGTATGATGTGTTTTGGGAAATAAGTGTTCTGTTGTTACAGAAAAATATAGTACATGCTAGTGGTGGTGGCAATAAAAAAGAAAAAAAGACTTTGAATCCATGCAGAAGAAGTTGAATTTTATTATATAAACAAGTGTGAAACATTGATATGTTTATTTGCTTCTTTGTTTTCAGTAGAGGAAAGCAATTTATTTATCCAAGGAAACAGAAATGTGAAAGATAGAAGAATTAATTAGAAATGGAAATAGCATTTAAGAAGCTTATTACCTTCCTGGAATAGAAGGTCAGGCATATACATATATAATTATAATTCACAGTCAAAATAATACATTACTTCAAAAATGTATAGATCAAAGATTTTGTTTATAGTATGTAAAGATTGCTTGTAGTGTCTGGAAAAGGCATTGTGGGAGCAGTATTATTTGCTATTATTCCCTTATTTTTAAGATTGGGTAATATCTTGATGCTTAAACATGAGAGAAGAGCTTTCCAAATACAGAATAATAATCAGTCAGAAACATGAAAATATGATACTCATGTAGGAAAAAAGCTAAGAATATGTGTTTTGTGAAAGGAAATGGTGGTAATGAAATTGTAAAGAAAACTTTGCAACCTTAAATGATTAGTAAGATCACTGGACATTTCCTGTTGGCAGTGAAGACACATTCTTCTGCTGACCTGACTAAGTCATCACAATTGTGATTTAACATGTGGCGAGCATATTGAAAGGAGGAAGCGAGACCAGCCAAGAGAATACTGAAATTATTGAAGCCTAGAGATACTAAGGGACTGAACAAGGAACAGTGTGACATTTTTGATCTAGTACGGAAATCAATAAAAAAAATTGAAAAATTTTAATTTGATCCGATTTTAATTATGAAAAGATATTCTATGTTCCATAAGGTGAATGAATATATCCCAAAAAAGAGAGAAGGGAAATTTAAAGGAAATTGTGTATCAAGCAGTTACAAAATAATTGTAGAAATCCAAGAAATAGAGGAGGATGTTAATCTGGAGGGTGGTTGTGTTGGAAAGAAATGGAAGAGGATAAACTTATAATACATGTTTGGAGCTGCAATTGCCAATTCTCAACTTGTATATTTAGTAGGTGAATAGAAACTATGTGTAGGATGATAGAAAGCTTATAAATTTGGGATAGTGGGCATGGCTGATAGTGTTTAATTGAAGTCAATCACACAAGTCAACTCAAGTTGAAGCCATGAGAGTCATCCAAAGGAGAATAACAGTGAGAGAGAACAGAATAGTTCACTATAGAGAAAAACAATTACATTTACTGGGAAGAGAAGGAAGAGCAGAGAGGGGAAAAAAACTGAAAAGGAATTTACCAGGGAGTAGGAAACAAAGAGAAAATGATCATCATGAATGTCAGAAAGAGAGACAGTGACGAGGCACAAAGGAATTAAATTTCATAATTAGCAGGTCACTGGATCATTTTTCGACAATCAGAGCCTTTAGATTCTAATTCTAATGTGGCTTTCTTTCATCTCGAGAGGGTAGTAGATCCCTTGGGAATCTGATGGTAGGTATGAACCAATGGATGTAGAAACAGGCAAACACAAATACACTTTTTTCATACAGCTTAGGAGTTTTTCTCAGATTCCCTTGAAATAACTTCGTGATACCCACTCTAGCTTGATGAAAATGAAATATTAGATTGAGACACTGATGTACTGGCATTAAAAGTCTTTTTTCCAGATCTAGTCAGGTAGAAGCAAACAGGCATATCTACCAGATGGGAGTTGGCAATGAGATGAATCCCATACTCTGAAACTACAGGTGGAACACCACAGTTACATAAAAGCAGTAGATCACTGCTTTCTCAGATGCTGACTCCAGACACACTAAAAAGGAATCCATCAAGTCCAGGTTTCTGATCTTTTCCAACCTAACATTACAAATGGCTTCAGCTGGCCGCGTATTCTCTACTAAATCCATCTCTAGCCTTCTAGGCCTACTATATCGAATGTCACAAAGTGTAATTGTTTATGTGTACTGCTCTCAATCAAAATATTCCAGCTGGCAGCTTGAGGGAGGGCTTGAAGTGTGGGAAGAGGAACAGAATGTAAAGTGCAGAGGTACCAAAAACATGAAAAGATGTTTTTCATTTGATGATTTGTTGTTCGAGTTTCTTCTTTTTTTTTGAATCAGTAAGTGCTTTTTGGATTTGTCTCTTCAGTGCTATCTATGGCACAGCATAAAATGCGTCAGCATTTACACAGCTCGTTTTCAGGAACAGGATTTCTTATTTCAGGCCTCATTAGCATTTGACTTCAGTAAATCTACGCTGTTGGTATCCCTAACACAATCTCAACTTGTCATCCCCTCTTTTTTTATATTTATCCTCACTTACCCTCACCCCCGACTCCCAAGAAAATAGTGGGTATTCTCTGTCAATTTGGCAAAACTTGTCCAAATTTCCTGGCAATGAGTTTGTATTCAGCATTACTGATAGCTTGCTCATATCTTCAAATCATAAAGAATAACATAAAAAGATACATTTTTTTAGTTATACTTTGTGCTTTCTTGGGAATGAATGCTACTGTGATTTGTTCAAGAGTTTCTTCGTGGGCTGGGCGCAGCGGCTCATGCCGGTAATTCCAGCAGTTTGGAAAACTGAGGCAGGTGGATCACGAGGTCAGGGGATTGAGACCATCCTGCTAACATGGTGAAACCCTGTCTCTACTAAAAATGAAAATAAAAAAAATTAGCTGGGCATGGTGGTGGGCACCTGTAGTCCCAGCTACTCGGGAGGCTGAGGCAGAAGAATTGCTTGAACCCAAGACGGGGAGGTTGCAGTGAGCTGAGATCGTGCCACTGCACTCCAGCTTGGGCAACAGAGCGAGACTCCGTCTCAAAACAAAACAAAACAAAATTAATAAAATAAATAAATAAATAAATAAATAAAGAGTTTCTTCCTATGACTGTTTCCTAGCATCATTAGCTCTGCCAATGCTTGGCAATGGTTTTCCCCTGTCCATTACTTTGCAACAAAGTACTGAACTGACCTAATAATGGCACAAATGATTGTCCTCTGGAAAAGCAAAAAAGAAGAGTGTTGGAAATATTTCATCAAAAAAGTTAATAGGAGACTAACATGTTCTTAACAGAACATCTCTAAGCAATAAACTTTTCTTCCTAAGCTGAGATAGATAGATAGATAGATAGATAGATAGATAGATAGATAGATAGATAGATATTTTTTAGGGAAAGCTATGTTTTAAAATTAATGGAATTTACTTATTTTGTTTTGGCATGTCAACTACATTCTAATGAAGCTTCATCTATTTAATTCAAAACTTGATTTTAAGTGATCCTCAACTTTATCAAAATGTCATGGTCTCCTCCAATAAAACTATTTTCCTCTTATTTTCTAAACACTTTTTTGTTCCATAAAAGAAGTACCTTGTGAAGAGTTTTCTCATACCAACATTGAGGAAAAAACAAACACTGAGGATGACTAACAGGCCTTTCAAACCTTTCATATTTTTTGACAGAAAATATTTAACACTGTGCTAAAAGGCTTTTATATAAAGATATGAGAAGACAGAATTCATTGGAAGCATTAAACATATCAGCTGAAGCAAACAGACAATTGTGCTCTTCCTACGTTTGCTCAGAGAAGAGTCAAATATTCTACCTCAGATTCTATGTCTTTCTTTAGATGGTGGTTCAACCACAATTTGAATAGGTTTGAGTTCCAAGGAAATACTCAGAATTTACGTTTTGCATTTATTTAACTTTAAGAGATCTCATTGTGTTTTATGTACATTGTTGTTCTTGAAGGATACATATAAGACAGTTTTGAACAAAGATGTGTGTGTGTGTGCCCGCACATGCACACTGTGCATATGTGTGTGTGTGTTTGTGAGAGAAATCTTCACCTGGAGCCAAGGGTTATAATTAAAAATTCCAAGCAACCCCTATGCTTGCTACTTGTGCTGTTCTCTCTGTCTCATACACACACAGACACACACAAGCACACACACATTTATTTAGTCTTTAGAATAGCCCTACTATTGTCCTCATTTTACAGGTGAGAAAATTAATACTTTTGGTTCATTAAGCTATATGCCTGGCTTATTTCAACAATCTAATGGGTTTGGGCTGCTCTTGGGAGTCACGTTTATTTCTGAAGATTTGCAGACTTAAGGTTTCTGAGAAACTGGGACAGTTTAGATCATTGAACCAGGTTATCCTTGAAAGAGTAATGCGACCTAGTATAATTGGGATTCCCTCAAGGTATTGCTTATAATAGTTGCAGTTCCCCAAGAGAAACTTTTAGGTTTCATTGATTCAGACTTTAATAAATAATTACAGGTAAAACTAGGTTAGTGTTAAAAATATATTAGCCATCAACTATTTCCTTTTTAGGATTTTTTATTTTACTCAGAAAATAGGAAAGTACTGGCTACGTTGTATAGGCCCTCATACCTTTCTAATATCTGAGTGTTCAGGCTGATTACTATGGCACATTAGACCTTAGTTGGTGGTGAAATTGAATGTTGTTAAGTTTCCTAAAGTTCCTAAACAAAGATTTTAGGGAGATGTGACATAAGCAAATTGCTGCTCCCAGAATTTCTGCTTGGAATATTCTAATTATTGCCAAATCTCCGCTGCTGCAAAACCCATGTTATTTCCTACTTATCTATTAATACCCAACAAACTATTACCCCTTTATAAAGCTCTGATTCCTCCAAGCAAAGTTATTCTTCTTTGTTGCTCATGCACAGACTTCTTTCTACTGTAACACTTACTAGGTGGATGTCTAAGAGAAACCATGAAATAGGGGCCCTGTCATATTATTCTGTATATTCCCAATGCCTTGTGGAGTACCTGATAACTGAAAGTTACTGAAAATAGCAGTCTTGTTCAAATTCATGAAACAGAGTTTGGTCACTCACCAGGTTATAATTCTGGTTAAAAAAAAAAAAAAAGATGGATATTCTTTTCCATGTAAAACATGGAAGTCTCTCAAAATCTTGTAATTTGATTGCTTAAAACACTTATGGATAAATTGCAGCTGTTCTCTTAGAATTCTGTAACATACCTTACTTGACTTGTGGTCCACATTAAAAGTGGCAATTGCATCCTCTGTTTTCTTCCTCCCAGATTTGGTTATTACATATTCAGCAAGTTTGTTTGCCAAATAGGTCTTTCCGGTACCACTCGGTCCTGAGAGTATAATTCTGTGATGCTCCATCAACAAGTTAAAGTACCTTTGGGTAATTGGTTTAGGAATCAGTGTATCAAAAACGAAACTGTCCAAACTATTTTCTTCTACCCCTGAAAGAAGAAACAAAAGAAAGAGCATGACTTATTGTTCTTCATAAGCTAGAATTTAAAATATCATGCTAAACAGCAACAGCATTGTTAGTCATAGGAATAGAGTCCTTGCAAAATAATTTCCAGGTATTTCTATCCCACAAATATGTGTTGCCATTTCAAGGAAGAAAATGTATCAGTAATATGGGAGAGTGAACATCTAAACAAAAGCAAGCTGTTTCTTTTTCTTCAGACTTCACTCCACTGTCTACTTCTTGTTTTCACTTATGTTTCCAGAGAGAAATGGAAGCATTATAAATGCTATCATCACATCTTTTATTGAAGATGATTATCTTTGTTAAGAATAAATGTGAAGATTATACATATACACACACACACATATATATATATATACACACACATATATTCCAATGCCTTGTGTAGTACCTGATAACTGAATGTTACTGAAAAAAAATATATATATATGCCATATATATATGTGTGTGTGTGTTCTTTCTTTTACTTTCTCTTCTCCCCATCTCCTTATTCTCTTCTGTCTCTCATTATGCATCCTAGTTGTGCAACCACTTAAGCTTTTGAAGAATACAAATTGTTATGTTTGGCAAGGAATTAAGAAAGGAGTAACAGGCCGGGCGCGGTGGCTCAAGCCTGTAATCCCAGCACTTTGGGAGGCCGAGATGGGTGGATCACGAGGTCAGGAGATCGAGACCATCCTGGCTAACATGGTGAAACCCCGTCTCTACTAAGAAATACAAAAAATAGCCGGGCGAGGTGGCGGCGCCTGTAGTCCCAGCTAGTCGGGAGGCTGAGGCAGGAGAATGGCGTGAACCCGGGAGGCGGAGCTTGCAGTGAGCTGAGATCCGGCCACTGCACTCCAGCCTGGGCGACAGAGCGAGACTCCCTCTCAAAAAAAAAAAAAAAAAGAAAGGAGTAACAGTATCTCCTTTTACGAACCCAATTGCCTTCATCATAAAATCAAATATTGACAAATTCCTCTATTAATTCACAGTTTATACAGATGTATCCTGATTCTTTAACATAAATAAACAAGGAATTATGAAGACAAAGATGCTTCAGATATTACATTAGCCTATAATTAATCACATCATCTAAAGCAAAGAAAATTCTCAGAACTTTCCATCCTTGATTCTTAACTTCTATTCCCTATTCCTGGGGGGTATTTATTAGGTACACATATTTTATTTATTTATTTATTTTTTAATTTTTTTTTTTTTTTTTGAGAAGGAGTCTGGCTCTGTGGCCCGGGCTGGAGTGCAGTGGCCGGATCTCAGCTCACTGCAAGCTCTGCCTTCCGGGTTTACGCCATTCTCCTGCCTCAGCCTCCCAAGTAGCTGGGAACACAGACGCCCGCCACCTCGCCCGGCTAGTTTTTTGTATTTTTTAGTAGAGACGGGGTTTCACCGTGTTAGCCAGGATGGTCTCGATCTCCTGACCTCGTGATCCGCCCGTCTCGGCCTCCCAAAGTGCTGGGATTACAGGCTTGAGCCACCGCGCCCGGCCTGGTACACATATTTTAAAATCAGAGATATATCAATGAATATATTACTTTGGAATATACACTAAATGTTTTGAATCCTTCTGTAATGAAAGATGATAATGAAGAAAATCCAGAAATTTGAAATTCCTAAATCACATTCCTTTTTGTGAGTCTTGAATCTTCAAATCCCAGAATCCAAAGAACTTAATTTCCTTAGATTCTAGTGTTTTTAGTAGGACTGTAGTATTTAATAGTTTTGGTATGAAATGAGTCATATTGATTTTTAAAATACTACAGAATTTTCAAATAGAAAAATTTAAAGGGAAACTGGCCAAAAAGGGGCAGGGGGGAGAATAAAGTGTTGCTAAAAATTATATTTCTGCCTTTCTTTTCATTTTCATTTTTACCTTTGAGGTTCACAGTGATGACGTTATTATCTCCAACAAGGTATCCACAAGGCAGCAATTCAGGCACTTCTAGGTTATGGGATCTAATTAAATCTCCTATACAGTAGCTAGCAATGCAGTCAGAGCTCAGACCAAGGCTAGTGGATGTATCAATTCGGAATACATATTCCTACAATGGTACACACAAAAAATAAAGTCAAAACAGAGGTTCAACTCATCTACAACAAATACATAACTCACAGGGATATAGAGCTAGTTGTCAAGAATATTAGAAATGTGTAATATAAGAACTGTTAATATCAAATAGCACAAAGAGAAAGCTTTCCTTATTTAAGGAGAAGAAAACAAGATGTGTCTATGCTATCGAAGTTAAGGGAAACAATTAAACGTATTTGAAAATTAATATTAGAGTGTCTTGCACAACATACCTTAAAGAGACGTCTTATTACACCATCTAAGACATCCCACTTGGTTTTTCCACTAACACCAATGGATCCTATCAAATATGCCTGAGACTTCTGATCCTAAATAAGAACAAAATAAAGTAAGATGAAATCCAACCGTGTATCTTTTTTATTACTATGTTTTCTACTAAAATTAGTTAATGTAGTTGTTGTTAAGACTAAACTATTTATTAAGCCTATGGCTTCTATAGTAATAGACATACATGGTGGATTATATAAAATAAAACATATTTCAGCCAACTAACCAACCAAACAAATAAAGTAACAGCAATAGCAACAGCAACAAGAAAGAGAGAGATGAGATAAAGCAGCATGTCAAGGAAAACTGATTCATGACCTGTTCTATAGAAGGCAAAGGTGAAGGAATCTGAAAGAATATTCTTGCATTATAAAGAGGTGGATACCTTCGTAAAGAGAAGAAGCTTGGTAGGAGGGAAATGGTGATAGAGACAGAACAGAACCATATTATATGAATTCTAGAACTTTATCTTACTATTTTGTGATCTTATCTTTGGTAAGTCCAAAACTCAGTTGTTTTATTAATTTTAATATAGAATCCAATTCTCACTTTAAAATGTGTTACCTATGATAATATAAGTATACCTACAAAACAGGTTCCATTTTGATTTTGTTAGAAGTTCTCTGTTTAAAAGACCTTGCCAGAGAAACCTACAGGATTCGTTTTATCAAGTAAGTAATTATTTTATAATAAAAATAATAGTTCCAAATCTATCTTTTTTATAAGATGGGATTTTGAGAAGTTTCTACATATATTAGAAAGGTAAATGATTCTGAATTTTTAGTCTGTCTAGAGCCTCTATTATGATGACCAGAAATGGTTAATGAAATAGTGATTATGATTCCAGTAGATACAATTAGATATTTGACATATAATCCTGGTTTTAGTCACCAAGTATGTTATCATTAAGGGGTGGTAGAATAATCACTGAGTCATGGGTTAGAAGATATGGATTCTATAACACATAATACCTACCACCTAATTAAGAAATGTGACCTTAGGTAAATTACTTAACTGGCTCAGACCCTCAATTTCTTAATCTGTAATATTTAGCACCATAATGGTAAATGGTTATCACCATTATTCAGGTATAATCTGAGTTAGAATCTAATACCTTTTGCAGAATAAGTTGAGAAATCCACAGCTGACAATTGTGATTTTTGTTACTATTGTTATGAAATGATATTTGTGTCTCCTCAAAATCCATACATCGAAGCCCTGACTTCCAAAGTGATGATATTAGGAGATGAGGTCTTTGGGAGGTAATTGGGATTAAATGAGATCATAATGGTGGGACTTTCATGATGGGATTACTGGGTAAAGTAAACAATTCGGGATTTGTAGCCTTTCTCTCTTCCTACCTACAGACACTGAGGTGAGACTGTGTGAGGACACAGCAGGAATTCCACCACCTGCAATGCAAAAAGAGAGCCCTCACCAGGAACCAAATCAGCTAGCCCCTTGATCTTGGACTTGCTAGCCTCCAGAACTGTGAGAAAATAAATTTCTGTTGTTTAGGCCACCTAGTCTGTTATTTTATTATGGAAGTCTAGGTAGAATAAGACAACTACTTTCATGGAAGTTTTTTAAGAAAAAAAATGCTCAAAGGCACTCTCTGTTAGAATTACTGTGAACAGGAAATCTTACTTTTCAGTGTGTTTATAACCCAGTTAAAATTACTGCTTATGCAATACCTTATAAAAAGCTGCTTTTAAATTGAAGTTCGTTTATGTTTCACTAAGAGTATTACTGTCTCTCACATAAAGACCCACTTGGGAAAAGTAGGTATACATCTGCAGCTCAAGCAGAAAGCTGACTGCATTGGAATCCTTGGAACATTGACTCAAGGTAAGAATTCACAAGTGCTATCTTACTTTTCACACTTAAGTACTTCATTCTGAAATTCTAAAGAATTTTTATTTGCTTGATGTAAAAAAAAAATGGATACTTAGAAATTTGTATTTTTGGCCACTCAACTAAAATTTTAACTTAAAATTTGTTTGTGTTGTTGTTTTAAGAAAGGGTTAAAGTCAGAATGACATTGCCAATTTGAAGGCAACATTTTAATGCAAATGTTGGACCTCGCTTAAATAGACAAGTAACATCAATGGAATTTGTCCTACTGAGTTCAGTAGAATATGTGTCTTTCTGATTTCTAGAATATTCACTTAGCTTACAGTCTTCCCTTTGTATAAATACCATATTGACAGCTCTAGTGACATGTTACCATACATAATAAACATTACCTATAACCAATAAGTGAAACCAACAGAATATGTCAGACAAGGTGTTTGTCAAAGAAATAACTTTTTGTTTTTTTAAGTTTTAGAAATGAAGGGCTGTTAATTTTGTTTTCAGTGAATGAATCTGAGGTACATCTACCACACATTTCTACCTCTATGATGATGTCATCTCTTTATTGTCCCTTTCATGTTTACATGACATATTAAGCTAATGCCAATCCACAATTGTTGCAGGATATTTACCAGATCAAATATTCACATATAAAATACATTTGACTCACAGTAATTCTCCTTATTAGTATTAAAGAGTTTAAGATTAAAGAAGTACCTTTGCTCGACCATAGCCCTTGCTTATGGAGACTATAATTTTCACACTGCGGCCATCTTTATGTCCAGTTGCATCACCAGCATCATCTAGCAAAATATCTATCAAATTTTAAAAGAAAGACATACACAAAAGAGTAACATTAGCTCAGATTTGTTTACTGTCATTCTTTTCTCCCTCATAGTTTTATATCTTTCAATGGGATTTGCTCCCCATTCTAGTCTAACTGGTTTGAAAAACCTCAGCTTTCAAGAAGATGAATTACTGTGGTTGGGCTAAAGTTTCAATCTAAGAATTTATTTCTGCTTGCAAAGATCTTCCCTCAAGTGTTGGGCCACTCACTGCATTTAGATGAGGAAATAACAGATTTCTTTTTTCTATTACACACAGGTCTGAGTAATACCTGAGTAATATTTAGTCACCATTATAACCATGACAAACTGACAAGCCATCTGATTTTTCTATCCAATCTAAAATATCCAAGCTCAATATCCATGTAATTTATAAATGCAAAGGTGCTGAAATTGACTGTCAACTGAAATTATTTTCAAGCATTTGACATAGCCAGCTATATAACTACTCACCTTATCTTTATAATTATTAGGTACTGTTATTGACTTTCAACCATGGCATTATACTGGCATTATGATTGCTCTCCTGAATCCTTTATGCTAATAGTTTCAAAACCAAAATAGTATTTCGATTAATCAGCTAAGAGTTACAGAACCATGATAAAGCTAGCTAACCTTTAAAATATCAGCCTTTAAATGGTAATTAAAGATTAACTTTCAAAATACATTATACCAGATTAATTTCCAATTTGGAGAATTATTAAGGTAAACTATCACAAATATCTGTTTTCCTTTAATAACAATACCATCATAGAACCATGCTTAATATTAAGACTCTGTTCTGTGGATAAATGAAACTCCCTTATACGCTAAAGAGCACATGTTCCTGGTGAAAAGAGGACTCAACTGCTCTGACAATACATTTATAGAAAAAAAATGTTATGACTATAGCATCATAGAAATCAACACTGTAATAAGATGGCTTCCAAAAATAGAATCGTTTCTATTATCATAATAATTAAGAATATGTAATTTTGAAAGTAAGCAATAAAAATACTCTAAGATCATAACAATTAAAAGCAACTTTCAGAGCTTGAGAACTTTCAGAATTTTAGAGCTTTGCAATAAATTTTTAAATCATCAAAGATAATCTCCAGCACTGGAGCTTAATTATTTTCCCAAGTTCACATCTTAATAGTCTTTCACCTTTTCACCTACTCCACTCAAAAATAAAACTCTTCCTTAAGTGTCATTTTAATTACCTTGCTCCTTTGTTAGAAGTTTAGAGTGGTTTACCATTGGCTGTTCAGATCTAGACTTCTGGTAGTTCATGATCAAATTACTTTAGTACTTGTCTTAATTACTTATAAATGCTCAAAAATATTTGACTAATATTTATTAAGCATAAATGGTATCAGAAATTTTGCTGTGTTTTGGGAATGAATACCAAGATGAGAAAGAAAGAGAATTTCTTGTTTTTTTTGGAGTATGTATTTCAGAATCGGTTATGCACTCTGCTAATATAAACTGGACAATGAAATAGAAACTAATTGAAGGGAGCCTGCTCTACATAGATAGGTCATCCTGGAAGGCTTCCTTGAAGAAGTGGTATTTGGAGGTAAGACCAGAAGGCTGAGGAATGCTAGACAAGTGAAGAACCAGGGGAAAAGATTCAGTCAACAAAAACAAGTGCAAAACCCTGAGATGTGTGAGCTGGGTATGTTAAAGGAACAGAGAGATGTTTGGGGTAGCAGGACTGTAGAGACAAGGGGAGGGTGAGGAGTGGTATGAAATGATGTGGATGGAAATAAGTAAGGACCAAATCACACATGGCTAAGTAGTCCCTGGCAAAGGAGGTTGGCCTGATTGTTGATCCACATAAGCTGGTTAAATTTGCCTTGTAATATGTTATTCATTTCATGTCATATTTGCTTCTAAAAACTACACTTACAATATGAAATTTCTCCTGACAATAGTAGGATAAATATTTACCAAAGATGAGTGAATAACTATTCTTTGCTTTTATTATGTGGCTATTTAAAGCAAAATTAACATAATAGTGAAAAGTCCAGGTCCTGGATTCATCCAAGCCAGGGTTTGATTATTAGTTCTGCTGCTTACTAGTTTCATGATCTTGAACAAATTGTTATAGTCACTTTCCTAAGTCTTGGTTTCCTCAGCTGTAAAACAGGGCTTAAACAGCACCTTCCTGGTAGAGTTACTGAGAACATACAAGATAATGCTTTTAAAGCACTTCATCCTCAGTGTTTACTAAGTTTTGCTTTTCTAACCATTATTTCTGTTTATTCTAACTCCTTCTATTGACTGTGGGCAGGTCACATCATGACTCTGAATCTCCCCAGTTCAGAATATATTGACAGGATGGTCACCTGATGAAACAACTCCAGGAAAAACTGCAAATTGAATGTGAGAGGCTTCTGTAGTTTTGTTTGTTGGTTTGTTTTTGTTTTGTTTTTTACCAGAAAATAAGTCATGGTCCTCTGTCTATATTTTGAAGAAAGAATTAAGGAGGTCTGCCACTCTGGCTATAATTAAGTAAAATTCTGGCCCCAAACTGAAGACTTCTCAAACGTCTGTCTTTACTGGATGCATGGAACATGCGATTAATATTTCAGGAATGAGATATTTGCCAATTATCCTCTCTCCTGCCTACTTTCTTTTGCTTAAGATTAATCATGAAACCTAGAAAGTCTCTCTGTTAAAAAGCCCCAGCATAAAGGCAGTTTTGATTTCCAAGTGTTGAACCCACTACACAAGAGTGAAAGTAATGAAAACAATATTCTAGTTGTGTGATTTAATTTTTTTTTAGTTCAGACATAAGTATCACTACTGAAAAATAATTAAGGAAAGAAGATATATTAAAAATAACTTAGGGAATGGGTTAAAAAAAAAAGGTATTCAAAAAAGTAAAACTTGGCTTCTCCCAAAAAATTGCCTTAAATTCTTAATCATGGCCATCAATGTGTTAAGCCCAATAAACATAGAAATTGTAAATGTAAACTCTTTGATTTTATATTTATCTTTATGAGTTCTATTTCTCCTAGACATTAAGTTTTTTTATATGTCTTTTTTCTAAACCACCTTCAGTATTAAACTTGCCTCCTTCAAATCTTACCATATTTTCATAAAATAAAACAGAATTATATAAAAGGCAGTGAAATCCTACCATTAGTCTGACCTCTAAGGTACTGGCCCTTGTCTTTCGCTAGGAGCCAAGCCTAGGAATCCAGAAATGCATTGGTTACTATGAGATGTAGATCTTACTTCACTTCTCTGTCAGGTCCATCAGCAACAAGCCAACATAGAGGATGTTGTTCAGAACTGTCAGATTCTATACATTTAAACATTCGGGTTCTTTCTTTTGTAGGATATTTTATTGAGTGTGGATAATAATACTTTATGTACAATTTACACACTCAAATTACCATCCACTTCCATAGTCTTATTTTACCTAATGATCTATAAGTTCATTTAATTCTGAAATTTCTTGCTTTATACTTGACTTCTGACATACTTGATGCTTATTCTCAGAATTTATTTTCTTCCTCTGATCCCCACCAGAAGTTTATAAAATTTGTTTTCTTAAAGTACAGGGAGTGCCCACTTGTCTTTTACATATAAGATGAAGGCCATTATTTTATATTACGAAGAGCAGCCATAATAGCAGAATTTTTAACATTTTGCCTTTTTAGAAGAGGTGTGATTCATCGGAAATGTAATCAATATCAGCATGCCATGTCACTTCCCTCCTCCTTCTCCTTCTGTATTTTAATATGATTTCAGGCAAGCAGTGTACTGTCTCCATTCTATAATGGAATCTAATGTTGGCTAGGAACATACATATTATTGGTTTCCAAGCGTCATCTGGTGGCCATGCTTTACAATTACCAGAGATCCTCATGTAAATACTCCCTAGACTAAATTCTCTATCCTTGAAGTGATTCTCCTCAATGAACTGTTCCACAGAAACAGCTACACTTTATGCTTGAATGGTTCATCAGATATTAAGACGACATTAGTCATATGCTTCTATTTGCAATCGAATCAAAACTGTACCCTTGTTCCATCACTAATACTGTGTTCTTTTTGTTTGTTGGAAATTTAATAGAGCTGCAGACTGGGTGACAGAGTAGCATTATGTTCTGTCAGGGCAGTATCATGCAGGGTCATCGAGTCAAATTTAGAAAATAAAGCCTGCTACACTTATAAATGGGTTTTGCACACTTAAAACAATAAAATTGTATGGGGTTATTATTATTATATCCATAAGTACTAATTATCATCACTGAGAGTATTATTTCTTCATCATCGAAATCATGGAGAAAGTACTTCCTAAGGAAAAGTGATTTCTTAAAAATATTATGAAGACCATATCTCTAAGATTGACTTTTGGATAGAGAATGTGCTTTTAAAATTATAACTAAGTAGACTAGATTTATAAGATCAAAATAGGACTATTTCTGAGAATTAGAGTATAACATTTTAATTTAAGAGTATGTAAAGTTCTCCAAATTCCAGGCTTCCCACCCGTTAACTTATAGGCATGCTGTGATTCAGCAAGCATGTGCACTAAATCACCTGAGGTAACAGCCTCTGTGATGTTCAAATTATTTAGAGAAAGTCCTAATGACTGCCTGGAAGATGAAGAGGAGGTGCTGCTTGAGGATTCTGACGGTGGCCGAGTAGGCTTAGCTGTGTTACCAGTTTCTGCCTTCAACCGGTCATTTTCAGCCTTCAGTATTTCAATTTCATTCTGTCATGAAGATGGAAAACATGAAAAAAATTGAGTTGGTTTGATTGAGAAAATAGCCCTGAGTCTTTTATCTAGTTAATTAGCTTGTTTGTTAAACAAAACATGTGGTAATATATTAAATAAACAAATATATGAAATAGGATTTCCTTCCCAAGAAGGAAATTTAACCCTTTTCTCTGTCAATCCAACCATTCGACATTTTTATCTTTTTTTTTTTTTGACTAAAGCATGTGTTTGAGAATTTTTCCAGGACTTGGTCTCATTTGAATTAAGAAAAATATGATGGAATCGTTCGTAACACTTCTCATTTTAAAGGTGATGTTAAAATCTTATAAGCATATCATGCCATTTCTAATATTATTATAAATCTGTGGACAGTTGAAAAACAGAGCAAAACAAAAATAATGTAAATAAGGTGATTTAAAATCACTCCAGAATCATATCTAACATCTGAAAAAGGTTTTTTTTTTTCCTTCCAATCGGGACACTAAGCTCATAAAAAACAACAAAAGCCTTTAGATGAACATATACAGTGGCAGATGAATCTGCTCAGCAATGAGCTTTTCTTATTTCAGTCACCTGTGGTACCAAGCAATTACTGGTATACAATAATACAATGAAAACTGAGTCTGAGCACAGACTGGTTCTGAATTTAGCCTTTAGATGTTTTTTTAAAAAAAATACAAAAGCTTTACTTTTACAGATGGCATTCCAAATCACTTTGACTTCCATATTCAGAAAGCTTGTGTTGAATTTCTACAGTTTCCTCATTACTTTTGTATTTCAATAGAAAACTGGCGAGAAAGTATGTGAAAATCAGATTTCAAAAGAACAGGCAAAAAAGTCAAAATAAAAGTAAACGATGGAAAAGTGAAGAAGCAAGAATTGCAGTAGCTTCTGCAAAAACTTAGCTCTCAACCTGAATCCAATCACTAGTACAGTATCCTGAATGGTTCTTGAATACAACTTGCCAGTTTTCACTCCCACTTCCAAACTTGGATTTGACAAAATTCTCAATTCAGTACTAAGACATGAGTTGCAAAGACTGAATAAACAGAGTACATTTCTAAGGTGGGTTTCCAAGCAGAATTTGTTCTGTGTTAACCAAAAGAACAGAATAAGCAGCATTTTTTTTTTTATTTGTTTGTTTCTCCATTTCATTCCTTGAAAGTACTTCAGCACCAACCTGCATCCGGTTCATGGCTTCCCGGATCTGATCAAGATGATGAGCAGAGCTGAGGGCCTCCAGCCGAATATCTGTTAATTTTAATTCCTTTTCTCTGAGCTCGCTCTTCAGCTGCAGAATTATCTCTGCCTCAGCTTCTGTGCATTCACAGATCCTGAAGAAGGAAACAAACAAAATCAGTGGTCTGGGGAAGCCAGATGATTAAGAAAAGCACTGCCTCTTTTAAAGGCTGAACTGTAATATTATCCAGCAGGTACAGATATGATGTACTGCTGGCAAAACCTAGAGAAAAGGAGAAAGAGTTTTACAAACAGTTATGCATTCACAAGTTCAAAACGGAAATAGCTTTTTCTTTTAATCTTTTTTTTCTATTTTTTAAAGTTTAAAAACAGTTTACTATTACTGGGTATAAAGTGATCCTAAAAATGCTTTTATTGGTGATATTTACAGGCAAAAAAGTCATAGATTACTACACTTCATTTCAACATTTTCAAAGGACTTAAACCTCTATTTGCAACATGTGACTATATTTTTATAAAAGCAGTTATTACATTCTTAAAATGTTGATTTCTTTTGTAAAATTGTGCAAAAAAAGTTCTGAAACAATACTGCCTTTAAGTTAGCATAAAAATCCAATATAAATATTGTAGAAAATAAATTAGAGAGATTACTTTTGGCCATTTAAATAATAGGTGGGTTATATAACCTTCCTATTCGGCTCAGCTGATTTAGGAGATCACAGCTAAATCACAGGTTTCAACCCCTACTAGCAGGCTAGCTGAGGGCTGTTTGAAGGAAACACATTGTATCCTTGTTGTGTTGTTTTATTGTTTTGTGGACAGCTTTGCAGGAAATTTGCCAAAAAAATTGTCTTATATTAACTAACATATTTTCCATTTAAAATCTGAGAACTAGTTTACTGGCCACAAAATGACAGTGATATGTTCTTCCTTTCTGCATAAATGATAAAATTATGTAGGCAAAGCACAGTGGCCCTGTTCTATATGAGTTCTATGCTAGTTGTTGTCATGAGCATACAAGGATATTAGATTTAAATAGTAAACAACACAGATAATTATCTCACCAGAACACTTTTCTATATTTGAAATGTGTTCATTCTTGTACAGTAGTCCCCCACAATTAGAGTTTATCCACAATTTTAGTTTCTGTGGTTTAAGTTACCTATAGTCAAATATGGTCCAAAAATATTACAGTATTTTGGGCTGGGTGCGGTGGCTTGCACCTATAATCCCAGCACTTTGGGAGGCCGAGGTAGGTGAATCACTTGAGGTCAGGGGTTTGAGACCAGCCTGGCCAACATGGTGAAACCCTGTCTCTACTAAAAATACAAAAAATTAGCCAGGTGTGGTGGTGCACACCTGTAATCCCAGCTACTCAGGAGGTTGACACAGGAGAATCGCTTGAACCCGGGAGGCAGAGGTTACAGTGCGCTGAGATCTTGACATTGCACTCCAGCTTGGGTGACAGAGTGAGACTTTGTTTCAAAAAAAAAAAAAAAAAAAATTACACTATTTTGAGGAAGATAGAGACCACATTAATATAACTATTATCACAAAATATTGTTGTAATTGTTATATTATTGCTGTTAATCACTTATTGTGCCTAATTTTTAAATTAAATTTTGTCATATGTAGGTATGCATGTATAGGAAAAAAAAACGGTATACATAGGGCTTGGTACTATCTATGGTTTCAGGCATCCACTGGGGATGCCTGAAAGTATCCCTGGTGGATAAGCTGGGGGCTACTGTACTACCAAAAAGTGGGCTATCATAAAAATACTAGGTTAGATTAACTAATAGAATCAAAGAAAACTGGATTGCAGGTTGATTTTAGGAAACCAAATTTTAGTTGAAAAAACAGAAAGAGAAGGTATTTATTGTTGAAATGCATGTGAGTGATTTTAGAAAAAGCAAAAGCAAACACTACTTAGGTTAGAACCTGGATCTTTGCAGTTTTCATGCATCACACTCCACTTTACCGAGATCTATGCTTGTAGATCACAGGGCCATTTTGTCGTTTCTTTGGTGGCCAGACAAGGGGTGACCTGTATGTACATACAGTTAGACAGATACATGGACAAATGCCCATGAAAAGAAGTGAGAATCATGATTCAGAAAACTGGAGAATGAGATCAAGAAACACTTAAATTGTAACATACGAAAAGGAAAAAGAAAAATGAAAATGAAAGAAACCAGTGAAGGAGAAATATGAAAAGAGAAACTAATGCTGTCCATCATTCTCAGGAAAATCAGAAAATAATTGGTACAGATATGGTTAGAACATAAATATGGCCTTCATCTAACATTGTTTTTTAAAAATATTTCTGCATTTTGCAGAAGGAGCAACTTACGCGGAAGCAGATTGTGAGGGCTTCATGGATGCTGAGCTACAGTCACCAGCGTTATGGGGCAACTTGGGGGATGCTGGAAGGGATGAATCAGTAAGCTCTTCAATGTCGGAATGTGATGAAGGAGGCTTGGTGGACTTTTTCTTCCCAAAGGCTTGTTTGAAAGAACTTCTCAGCTGAAAGGAGGACAGAAATTACCCTTCTTGTCTATTTGCACTTGGAAAGCTTTTGCTTTGGGGCGTTAGTTTGCAGATGCCATCCTAGCCACTGCCTGGGGTCAGTATGTACAAGCAGAGTATTAACAATTGCAGCACAGTATCTCTAAAAAAAAATGATACCGTGTTTTGTGTGTTCATTTTATTCTTGTATTAATCCAGCGCAGCGCAAACATGGAAGGCTTTTAAATAGTGCAAGGTCAAGGGCATGGCTGTCAGAGCACTCATTTAAAACTAAGTACCTTGAAGGGATCTCCATTCCCAATGCTTCTCTCTTCAAGGCAATTTGTTTTAAATGGCCACTTTAGCGCTACAATCAAGTCATGTCCTGCTGACAGTACAAACTTAAAAAGCAAAATGAAACCAAATTCACCTAACACTTCATTAATTGTGATTTTCTATTCAAATTTTCCAATCCCAGACTACTCAAAACCAGAATTGGTATCCCCTACAGTTCTATTCAGAAAGTGGTTTTACATCTCTTTAAAATTTGAGATTAAAATGAAAAGACACAAAGAAAAGACATACAAGGTAATCTGTTTTAAAAGGTATAAAAGCCTACTGCCAAAATGAATAGCATTCATGCCAAGGTAGAGTTTTTTTATAGATGCATGCCAAATTGTCCACGGTTTATATTCACCTCACTTCCTCTAGAGTTCACCTTGCAGAAACATGAAAGAGTGTGGAATTACAAATCAAGGGAATGAAGGCTGATCAGTATTTTAAAATATTACCTGTATAAACATTTTTTAAGACAAAAAGATATTTCTTTCATTATTTGTAGAAAGCACTCCAGTAAAATCCTCTGATAATTATGTCTGGATTTCATAAAGAGTTGTATTTACTCAAAATCTACCTTTGTGTTTTTTTGGTATTAAAAGAAATCATTAACTCCATTGTTCTTATGTTTTTTGCAGTAACAGTATCTTCCCTTCGGCTATTTAGCTATTGATCAATATAATAAATTATGTCTCTAGCAAACTTAAGGTACAGTTCTGTTAAAGTGCATTTCTATATTTCTGCTATATTCTCTTGGTTAAAAACATCAAGAAGACACTAATGTGGTTGATTTCTTTTAGGGTGAAACTATTCACGTGGTAAGCCCTGTTGATTCCAAAGGCAGAAGGAGAGTTTCATGGTTTCTTCTTTCCCTTTATTGACTCCCATTCTCCTCCTTTTCCTCCAACACCACTATCAACATCATCATCATCATATCATCATCATGATCATCATCATTTTTTCACTTTTCCTTCATCTCTACCCCCACAATAAACCCCTATTTTAAGCCATTTATTCACAGATGTTATCTTATTTTTCTTTAGTATAACTCTATAGCTATACTATTGACTTTCTATAGTTATACTATAGAAAAACAAGATAACATCTGTGAATAAATGGTATTCACAAATAAATATAGTTGCTATTAACTATCCTTTTATAGATAAGAAAATTCAGGCCCCTCAAAAGGTCTAGATCTAGTGGTGATTCAAACCCAAGTTTAGTCCCAACATTGAAATGTATGCTTTTCAGTACATGCCACACCAATTTCGGTGGTGAGTGCAGCATCTGAGGTGTCAGTAGCTTGAATGGGGCACTTTGTAAACTGTTGCAGATCACTGAAGCCTCAAAGAAAAAGGCCTAACACATGATGCATTAATAAGCTTCTGAATTAGATGAAGGACGGTGGCTTACCCAGTTCTTCTTTTTCTTCTTCTTAGAATCAGCATCATTACCACTGCCAATACTGGAATGGCTTGTGGCACTGTTGATACTAGAAACACTTTCAGAGGAATGCTGTCTTCTGATGCGAAGATCTAGCAATAGAGAGAGAGAGAAAGAGTATCACATTGGCTCATGAAGAGTCTCGATCTGAACAAGTAAGTCTTTTAGGTCTTTTGAGAGGAAGTTCTCTAATAAAGGTCAACAAGGATTTGTACAGATAATTTCAATGCAGTTTTGGTTTTAGAAGTTTAGTACAACCATATTTGTTTTAATTAACTGAGTTATCTACATTAATATTTAATGGGAATCTCATATAAGCCTGCAGCCCTGGCAGTTTAATGAGTTCTGAGTTTTGTCTAAAATTAAATGCTATGCTAGTGATTTTTACTGAATGCCTGGATCAAACAGCTCTTCCAAAATGATTTGTTCTGAATGATTACCTTCAAGGAGTAAATGGAAACTCATAATAAAATGAGAATTAATTGTGCCTTTTTAATATTTGTGCTTCAAATACAGTTACTAGAGCAAAATGTATTAACTTTCCATTTCATAGAATCATACCATATTAGAGCCAAAACAAACCTTGAAGTCATGTAAGCACATAATCTCACAGATGAGGAAACTGAAGTGAAAAGAAGTTCAGTAACTTGGCCAAAGTCAAACAGCCAATGAAAGGCAGATCCTCCAAAGAAAGCCTAGGTAGACTGAGTTTGTGAATTAAACAGAGGACATATTTAAAACAGTGTAATTCTTCCAATGTACCCCTACTCCCTGCCCATGACTTATTATAGAATAGTAAAAGTAACATCAATAACAAATAATAATAAAACTAGGTTTTATAATATGCTTGATATGCCCCGGAGTATCTAATTTTATTATTAAAGCAAACCACTGAAATGAGTTTATTTACTAAATGTAATTTTCACATGGTCACATAGCTGAAAAATAGTGGAGCCAGGCTCAGCCCTAGGCTGATTCTAATATCCATTGTGTTAACTGCCATGTATGCAGCATGTGGTATGGCCTTGCTTAACTTCTAAAAGCAAGCAGTGCTTCTTTAGTTAAGATATTTTGAAGAGAATAGCATTTGATATTTAATCATGTTTAAAGGTATCTATTTCTTTTATACAAGCAGCTTATAGATTTTTAGTTATTAAAAATAAAACAAACTGAATTTTTTCCTACCTAAAATGCACTAGTATAGGTATTACTGAGACACTAAGAAAATTTACAAAATTGTGCTTAAGGTCACACTTGCTTTTAGTCAATTTCCATTAATATACTTATTGTCATCAAGGCAGATTAGGCAAGCAAAAATATCTCAGTAGAAGTTGTAAGATGTCAAAATTTATTCTAAAGCTGACAAAGTTTCAATAAAACTAGTACCATAAAATCAAGTCTTTTCAATTGACTGATTTACTGAATAGTAAAAATGATCTATGGCAACAAAACTATAATTGGTTGCTTTCAAAACATATAACAAATATGTATGTATTAATAGACATGTAATATATGTATTTACATATATATGTGTGTGTGTATATGTATATCTTCATCATCATATACATATATATCAATTAGTCCCTTAATTTTTCTACTAAGGCAATCATGCTGAAAAATTTTATAGGAAGAAACACATAGAGTTTTTTTGTTTAGAATCCCTAGAATTCGTCCCTTAAAATTATTTTAAAAAGTAGTGATGAGAACATTCACTGGTTTTGCATGCTAAAACATTACCAACTCCTAAACCTAAATCAAGGTATTGATGTAGGAGGTTTCAATTAAACAATAAAGGAATCTGGTATCCTTTAATCAACTATTATGGAACTCATATAAATAGACAATAGAAGAATATGTGTAGGTATTTCTTCGAATTTTAAATTTTTGCTGAGATCAGCCATTAGCTTTTTGAAAAAGATTTCCCATTTGCTAGCTCGTTCCTAATAATTAACTTTCACAAATAGAAAAGCACAAAGTATTATAGTACTTCAGAATTTTTATTATATCCCAAATTAATAAACTGTGTCTGACTTCTTTAATACTAAAATTTTTAAAAGATAGGTAAATTATTATAATCATAGGTCAAAAGTAGTCCTTGGAGGTATCAGTTACCTTCACTTACAACTGCATTCACCAGTAAAGATTAGCAAAGCCATAATATTAATAATATTGTGAAATGAAGGAAATGCATTTTACCGTTCCCTAACAATTTCTTTTTTAATACTTCTAAGTATTTAATTCAGTACATGGGGCATCATAAAGTTCAGTAAAGAATAGCTAACCAAATGAATATCAGCAATCCGAATGAATGGAGAAGCCTATTTTTAAAGTGAAATTTTCAGGTACGTGTTTGTTCACTTGTCATTTTCTACCTCCCATCCTCTGCGTCACCACTGCCCCAGTTCAAGCTATCAACATAACCTTTACAGCAAGCATTGCTATTGAACTTACTCATCTTCAAACCATTCTATAAACAATAGCTAGAAAAATCTTTTTAAAAGGAAAACTTCATCATCACTCCCCCACTTAAGACCTTTCAATAACTTCTCACTGTAATCAGAATAGATAAAAATCCATCTTCTAAATATGGCCTACAATCCCTCAGTAATCTTGTCAGTCCTTAACTCATCAATCGTGTTCTTCTTCTTACACATTTGCTTAGTATTTTCCTTACATTAGTTCCATAAGGGAACTAATTTATTTTCTGCCTCAAAGCTCTTTTGAAATGCTCCTCCCTCACGACTTATAATGTGATTGACAATTATTCCTTGGATATTCACTTGAATATTACTACCTTAGAGTAATCTTCCGTGACTGTGTAACCTCCAGTAGGTTCCTTGGTACCCTCCTTCCCTATGGTACCCGTTATTTTCCATCTTAGAACTTATAACTGTTTTGGTATACATGTTCAGCTTCACCAATGATCACATACATTCATTTACCCTCTGCTCTCCCACTAGACTAAAAGTTCTATGGAGACAAAGACCATATCTATTTTGTTTACCATTATATATTCCAAACCTTATATAGCATATGGCATGTGGTATCAATCAATACATAGTGTTAAATAAATCGATTCTGATTTTTCATTCACTATAACTACATTTGCCTATCATTATTTCTAAAAAATATTTAGTGCTGACAGAACTTTAATACATGTGTTATCCCACTGTATTTGGTGTATCTTAAGGAAAAACAATTCTATATTTACACAGAAGTAGTGACTTAGAAAGCAATAACACATTTTGAAAAAAAAAGGTAAAATTTTCTAGTACCTTCAACTTTCAAATTTCTTATCACAAATACTATATTTGCAGTGGATTGTGAGCTCCATGAACAAAGGTAATTTTTTAAATCTTTGTATTTTAAGATCTGATAATGCCTAGTACTTAATAGCAGGCGTTTACATATGTTTCTAAACAAAAAAAATTTTATTATAGACTGTAATTATTTATCAGACTTCATTAATGAATGTGAGGCATTAATTTAGAGAAAACAGAAAACACATTCACAAACTGGTGTGTGATTTTGTGATAGTCTGGCCTGTCTATAACACTGTTGCCTCATTCCAAATATATCTTCTAAAATCATATGTAAAAATATACATTACATACATATTTTAAGGGTCTCTAAAAGTAAATTTCAATGTGATTTCCAAATATAAATGTATATGCCATACAATTACCTTAATAACCCATGGAAAGACACATAATTAGTCTAACTGACTATTTTTTCCATGTAATGTCAATGGTCAATGTGATAGGAATCACTCTATGTTCATTACATTTAATACTGAGTTTTAATATTACAGAAATACAATCTAACTATCTTGTATACATTCAATCCTTTATAACCAGTGGTTTTTGTTACTTTTAAAACCTAGCAAATTATTTTTTAATATTTATTGGTCGATGTAAATATTAACTGGTATTTTTCACCTTAAGCATCACCCCTCCCACATTTCTGAGCAAAGGCATTCCAATTTTTCAATTTCAGTAGTCATATTCAGCTACCTGTTGCTTAAGATAAAAGGAATCCTTTCAGCAAGTTTCACTTCAGTGACTTGTGCTGTGTTAAAGTAAGGATTAAGCCTTTTTAAATCCCTTCTGGACCTATTTACGACATGAAGATTTAGAACATAAGCTGCTTTATTATAGCTCTAAGATAAGCTTTAAATATGCAGTAATTTTCGATGCATCACATAAATCACTCCCCCACATGGAAAGTTGCTAAATTCTTGAGAGAAGTAGCCCCTATAGAACTACTTTGTCCTTCAATTTATGCATATCTCACTTTATGTAATTGTTTTCCTAAAATTTAAATTGAAATTCATTTAAAAATTACTTTATTCTTCTTTTAAAAATTCAAATAAACCCCTTTTATGTGCAAGACATCATCATGGGCATCCTGATGTCTTTCAAAAGAGTGAAAAAACAATCTCTACTATTGTAAATCAGGAAAGACATATCTTAAATAAAAGCCCCAAAGTATAATGTAATTTTAAGAAGGGAAGTATTGCTACTTCCAGAAACATATCACAGGGGACTTCATTCAGTGTAGGAATCAAGAAAGCATATTTGGGTTACCTGCTGCAGTGTCTCAAAAAGTTTTTATGCTGATCAAACAAGGTAGAATATTCTAAATGGAATGAATGCAATTCATAAAGAACTTATGAAGAATTGAAAAAAATTCAGGATAGCTGAAATATGGAATATACAATGCAACAACAGAACAAGAAGTAAAGTCTATATGTGCTTCATTGGGCACATAGTTGGTTATGAATAAATATTTGTTGAATAAATGAAGCTGGTGAAGAGAGATTATGGCAAGTTGAGGAGTCTATATTCCATTCTAAAGGCAGTGGGATACCTGTAGATGTGTTTCTTAATGACTGTTCTGGCTTCACTGTGAAGACTGGTGTAAAGCAGATAAGATTAAGAAGAGGAAGGCTATTGAGGGGTTTGTGGTCATGGTTCAGGAGAGAGGTGATGGATGGTGAGAGTAAAACCAGAGAAAAGTGAACAGATCCAAGAGATACTTAAGGAGTGGGATCAATAGATCTTGGTAATTTATTCAACGAGAAGAGGAGGAGTTATGAAGAATACTTAGATTTCTGGCTAAATGGAAGGATGGTGGTGCTATCCACTGAGGCAAAAAGCACTGAAGGAGCAGCAGGTCTGAGACAGAAGACAAGTTAAAGTTTGGAGACATTGGTTTTAAGATGCAAAACAGACATTCAAAGATATCCACATGGAGTTCTCGGTAGCTCTATATACAGAGCCTGGCCTGCAGACCTAGATTTGACAGTTATTAGCTATTAACACATTAATAAAAATTACAGCTAGAGTATGAGATGATTTTCTATATATTTTTAAATAGGATGCATAGAATCATAATATACAGAATCATAATGGAAGAGAGCTTAGGATATCAACAATTAACAAATGGATACAAAAGAGTGAATTTATAAAAGAAATATTGAAAAAACATTTCAAAGGAGCAGAAGAAAAACCAAAAATGTGTGATGTCATGAACATTAGAAAAACCGAATGTTTCACATAGGAAGGAATGAATATCAGCATCAAATACTGTTTCCACGTCTGTCTAATACAATCAGAATTTTAAATGTTTTACTGAATTTAGTGTCATATAAGTTTCTACCGATTCTGGAGAGCATAATTTTGGTGGAGTGGAGGGAAAAGGAGCTACACTCCAGTGGTCTAAAGATGGTTGGTGGCTGAAGACATTGAAAGAGTTCATAAAATTTTTCTCAGAATTCTTCTGGAAATGAAAAGAGAGATAATAAGGCATTCATGTTTTAGGTCAGGATTTTTGAAGCTGGGAAAGAGTTGAGCATGTTGAATGCCATTGAAAAGTGTCAGGAAATGAGTAAATAGAACCAATGTAAAGAAAAAAAATGACACGATATTAATAATGAGCATTTCTTCAGTGGTGAACTCAGGGGTAGGGGCAGTGGCAGAAGTATTTTTATTGTTTAGAATTGCTTAAGCATAGGAATAATATAAAATATACCTACCTTTCACCTGTTGTTTTTATTGTTTTAAAATTATCTACAGGAAATGTACCTTTTTGTAGGCTCCATCCAGGAAAAGTTGTTCCCAATGCCCATTGCTTGCTGTATCATCATATTGACTATTTCATTTTTATATACAGATCTAGATTATCATACTCATTAATGGGTTTGTTTTGCCTGAAGTCAGATATGCATGTATTAACCAACCACTCCATCTCCATCTCCACTGAATCAAGTGGAAAGATGTGTATACACAACTATAGAACCAAATTTCGTAAGACCAATTTAAAAATTATTTGATAATGAAAGTCACTATCCTAAAATTCTAGGATTCTGACCACGTTAATACCAACTTATTCATTATAAAAGGCAATGACACTGAGTAAATGCAGTTTTACTCTAATTAGTTAATAAAATAGATGCCTATTATATTGGGTGGAAATGAAACAATTTCTAAATATACCTTTGGGAGGATGGTCTGGACCATTCAGCGCTCCCTGAATAGCCGCCTGGGCAGCAGAATTCTGAGCCTTCAGCATTTCAATGGTTTCTCTTAGTTCTATAAGTTCAGACTCCTGTGAAACAAACAGAGTTTGGAAGCTTTAATACCTAGAAAGAAAAGTAAAATCTCCTTGCTCATAGTTGAATTTAAAAGGCTTGATTTTATGTAGTAACAACCTCCTGGAAGATTTGGATGCTTAGCTGAACTTGTCAAGTTGTACCTAATAACTTCTTTCTTAGCTAAAGTAAAGGAGGTGTTTGTTTGTTTTTCTTAGTTATTGTCTTATAAAAGAGAGATGAATAGTCTTTATTCTTTTCAAAGGGTGGGACCCGGAACTCACCAGTACAAAGTAAAACAGGATATCACACCACTCATTTCAGATCACATACTTACTAATATTACCTATGATTACATTAGATATTTAGATATCACTATTGCACTGTTGCATTGCATTGTATTTATTGTCAACTACAAACCTGAAGTTTTGTCAAACCAATGATTTCAGATTTTGTTTGAAGTATTTTGTGTCTGCAAAATTGATTCTTTGTATTTAAGTGTAAAACCTGGAACTTACCCCTAATTCCTATTAAATGTCATCTTATTAAATTCTGATGCCATATCAAGGTCATGTTACATTCTGATACTCTTTCATTCAATGAAACTCCTAAGATGGAGACCTAGTCTCACCAAGCCAAAGCAACACAGGAATAAAGTAAATAGAAATATATGTATTATACAATTTTTAAATAATAGTTAAATTACAAACAAAGCAGCTTACAGATCAAATTTTAATAAAGTATATATTTTCTTTTTGAATTTAAAGTAATTATAAGATATGTCCCAATAAAATACTTGCACACATTTGAACTTTCATAGTTATTTAAGTGAATTATTTTAACAGAAATAACTCATTTTTGGAAGATAAAATAACTCGGAAAAAGATAGAAAGAAAAATAACTGAGTGTTGCTTCAATATAGACTGAATTTCCATTAGAAGCTCAGTAACAAGTATCTTTCATGGTGGTAATATAATCCTAAAAATCAGATCTTTGTCAGTCTCTTACAGGGGGAATTCCTTGGTAATGTATTTGTCATTCATCATTCATCATTTCCTTTAGCATCTTTGGCAGAAAGCCAAATAATCGGGCTTGGGTTCTTCATTCTCTGGTAAATAATTTATCTTTAATCAATGTCTCCCAGAACATACATTTTAAAAAGATCAGCAGCAGCAGCCTTTGTGGAAAATTGCTTCATACATGGGAATATCCATTGACTATTTTAAACTTAGACTCTTAAAAAAAAAAAAAGATAGATGATGCTAATTGAAGTGATATCCAAGTTTGGAATAGATACCTGACACCTCATGTATCTATTTTCATTGCATACCTGACATTTTCCTGATAAAGAACACTTAAATTTAAAACAAACAACCAAACCTTCTTATGGACTTTCAGTAGCTTATGAGTGGAAGCATCTCTCATAATGAAAAATCAATAGTAACCTCCTAAATTTATAGATGGGTCTTCAAATACTTGACTGCAATTTATTATCTTCACTTTGATTATATTTATTATCAAAGAAGAATATAATATTTGTGGGAAATTTCCATTGTCATAACAAAAGTCAGACCCAATTCATCATAATGACTCAGTCTCTCCAATTTTTATATTCTGTCCATTGCCAAATTAGCAACAGATTTTACCAAAACTTAATATATTTTCCATTTAAAAATATCCCCCAAGAAATAAAATATTTACTGAAAATTTATTCTGCTCTTACTGGAAAATTTTTCAAAAAGAAATAAATGGTACAGAGTGGAATCATCTAATGTAAATATTAATTTTACAACATAAATACTAGAATGCAAATTAAATTCTAATTAAAATCAGATTTTTTCTCTTAAATTTAAGATCAATTATGCCTGTACTATGGATTAAAATCTGTTAAAACATTTGCCTGTAGCTTTAAAGGAAAAAAGTGGTAATGAGACCTCATGCCAACAATGTCAAAAAATTAAGCTTAGCTTTGAGTTAGCTGACTTATTTCAGTGTCAAAACATTCAGCTTTTCACGAGAAATCTCTTATAAAACCTGTTTTCAAAAAGATAAAATGTAGAACATTCAGGCAATGTTGCTTTTTCAGAATATCATATTTAATATGAAATAGAAAAATGATCACTTTCTAATATTAATTATCTTTTAAAAAGCAATAGATATTAACAGGTTAGTTGTTACTCAATGTGGCACAATATATGTAAAAGGAAGAATAACTAGTTAAGAAATATATCTGCTATATAACTTGAGAGAATCATATCTATGAAAAAAATTAGTTCAACCAAATTCATACTGCTATTTCTTTAGAACTTTATGAGTATAAGCAAACACCTATAAAATATTCCATAGTCTTTGATTAAAAAGATAGCTAAATTCTACATTGATTGACATAATCTGTTCAAACCTGCACTAGTTATCTTTCCATATTTGCAAAATTCCTTCCTTCTCTCTCATTTCAGTTAATGAGATCTGCTCTCACCTTGTCACTCAAGTCGCACCCATCTCTTTTCTCTGAGCTTTCCACAAAATTTTCTTTTTATTTAAATATCCTACCTCACTGTTAAAAGCCATGGTAAAATGTCTCCACCCTTCTGAAACCTGTTTTCCTGTCAGAAAAAAAATGAAAATGTGCTTCGAGACTATTTAATGTACTTTCTTTAGTTGTTGATGAATATGCTTTTTCACCTGATTTATGATCTCCATAAATATTTGGATGATTTTGTTGAAATGTTCTGGTCTGCGTTAAACAGAAGTTTCTCCCTTGAAAGAATAACATAAAACTTCAACTTTATTGTATACGTATTTTTTTTTTTTTTGCAAGAGGGTGTCTGATCACCTAGTGAGTGGGGTACCGTATAAAAAACGCCAACAACTTTATTAGTTATTACAACCAGGGAGTCTTATTTTGGCTAAATCAGTGGAATCACCTCCTTTGGATGAGAACGCAGTCAGGTTTTCCTTTCTCTCTTTCCCAATAGTATTATGGAGATAAGCATAAATAACTTTAAAATAAAAACTTAACTGAGACATGGAAATTTTTCAATAGTTTATTTCTAGTCTTCATTTTTCTTCTTCATAATTATGGGTACTGTTCACAATTTTTTTTAAGCTGTATTTTTTCAGGTTTCTATAGTGCACAGAAATTGTAATGTGGCCTCCAGACGCAACTAAGAATTTTTATTTTATTTTATTTTTGTTCATAGTGGGGAGTTTGGATGAGGTATATGATTAGAAATGAATTCCTGAGATAGCTAACTATAACATCATTAGATATTCTAAAATATTTTCATATAATTTCTTTATGTTGAAGGGAAAAATAGAAGATACTCAAGTTTTGAAAATCCTTATTAATCATTCAGAAAAAAAACTGAAAAAAATGTATGTGCCATCAAGATATGGATTTAAAGTCTACTTTTTCAATTCAGTCATTTTCAGTTTCTTATTCTCATTAAATACTAAAGAGAACATTGAGGCTGGGATAATTCTGCAAAAGATTTTAGGAATAAGATAATCAGATCATATTTTGTTACTTCACATTTTTCAAAAATGATAGATATTTTAAAACCTGAGAACCAAACTAAGATTTCATTTTCCTCCAATGAGCTATTTAAGATAATGATACCTCCAACACCTGCTGACCTTGTAAAGTTCTAGTTTTCCATGAAAGTTTCTCATGTTAAAGAAGCTGAATGGAGTCAGTGTCTCTTTTCACAGTTTTATGCATGTGTCTGAGACTAAACAATTCATTCAGGTCAGGCTTGAAATGCTTCAAAATAAAATGATCAAATTTTGTGTCAGAATACTAGCCTTTCCTGGTGGTCTTTCCAACCCAATTTCTTAACTATACTTGATCTCTTTCCAAATTTCTCAGTAATAAAGACTTTGTTGAGAATCCCACAAGCTTGGGACAATCTCATCAACAAACGCCATCAACTAACTTGAACTTCTAGGCAAGGCTGTTTAAATTTTCCACCACATCTGTCCTTTACCTCCTCATGTTGGCACTGTTAATCTCACACTTCCCAGCTCTAGTCTCCTCAAACAGGTCCTCCCTTCTCACTCCACCTTGCTTCTGAAGTCTTGCTAATTGTTCTACTGAAAGAACCTGACCATCCCTATGGCATCTAGTTTCAAATAAATTACATTCACCAAATACCAGTAGGGTAAGTAATTTGAAAATTTTAGATTCACATTATTCTATGCCCTAAAGATTAATGGATGCATCATCTGACTCTAGCAATATATATTTTTAAAAACACTTCTAGATGGCAACTATCATAATGTAAATTGGGGAGAGTTAATGTAAAAATCCTATTCAACTAAATTTTTAGTTGCAGCGTTATCTATTTTCAAAGATTTGGTTTCAAATTCCCTTATTTTGAAGGTTTCAATTCCTGTTTTGTAGTCACCCAAAAAAAGTTTCAGAGAGGTAACAAATGAGCAAACTACTAGGCTTTATTGTTAGGATAGTAGTCAATATCTGAGCTTCATCACTCATACAAGGAGATATTCCTCTGCCTGTTCTGACCTTCTAACAAGAAAAACTTCTCATACCCTTAACGTATGTTCTAACTGCCCTGGCATGACAGCTACAGGGAACTAATTTGAAAGTCTTTTAAATTTTAAATTCTGAAATATTGAGCTGAGAATATAGCTTTAGTAATTTTGAATACAAGGATTTAGAAGTAGTTCTGTAAGAATGTTACTTATAAAAATATAGTTTGCTGGATTCCTAGAAGTTGAGCCTTTCTCAACTGGCATTCTGCGAGAAAATTAAGCCCTGCACAATGATTTAGTAGCAATATCCTTGATTCTGACAAGAGTGGTACATAGCTAGTACCATTCTAGATAGTGAGAAAAGAAGTTATTTCAGCACATGTATTGGATGCCTCAGGGCATCAGGTTTAATTTTTTTCATATATTCCTGGTGAAGAAGTGCTGGTGAAGAGACAAGGATCTGAAACCAGGATAAAATTCTTGATCAAACTACATCAATGTCATAGTCTACGAGCCCTGGGTTAGGGATAGGGTAATGTCTAGAGATAATTTCACTCTCAGCAAGCATATTAACAATTCTCTTGATTTTTACCTACTTACAGACTTACTATTATATAGCATGTCTTCTTTTAGCAGCTATTGGGAATACTGTTTAACTTGCAGAAAATGCTGCCAGATTGATCACTATTTTTTTTCTTTTTTTGTAATTTTGATTTTTGAGACGGAGTCTTTCTCTGTCACTCAGGCTGGAGTGCAGTGGCATGATCTTGGCTCAGGGCAACCTTCACCTCTGGGTTTCAAGCGATTCTCCTGTCTCTGCAGATGTTTCCTTTCAGAATGCACATGACATTGTACTGAGTCTAATAGCATGATAATTTTCTGCCTTCTGAGTTATTCATACATGTCTTTTCTTTCTTACCAGGCTATAAGTGTATAAAACCAGTGTTCTGGTACACAAATTTGGCAAGAGATTCAGTGTTATTTGGCATCAGGAAATAGGAAAAGTATTAGGAGTGAATCCCTCTTTATTCAAGGCAGTTATTTTGGTCTATAAATCAAACAAAAATTTTGATGTAGCTTCAGGCTATTAACGCCATGTGATTGCTGACAATCACACTGTGAAGCCCAAATACTAGAATCTGAGTCTTAATTTAGTTTATCCATTTTTAAAGTATGTAATCAAGAACATGAAACCACCTTGGCCTTTGTTACTTCATGTTTTAGCTTCCAACCGTCAATATCCTCATTCTCAGCTTTACTTTTTTCGCTAGTGCTTATCATTACCTGAAATTCTATATGTTTTAGTTATAGGTAATATATATATATATATATTATTTTTATTTATTTATATTTTTAAAATTTGAGACAGAGTCTTGCTCTGTCGCCCAGGCTGGAGTGCAGTGGCATGATCTCGGCTCACTGCAACCTCCACCTCCCAGGTTTAAGTGATTCTCCTGCCTCAACCTCCTGAATAGTTGGAACTACAGGTGCCCACCACCACGCCCAGCTAATTTTTGTTTATAGTAGAGATAGAGTTTCACTATGTTGGCCAGGCTGCTCTTGTACTCCTGATCTCAGGGAATCTGCCTGCCTCAGCCTCTCAAAGTGCTGGGATTACACGCATGAGTCACCACACCCGGCCTGTTTTAATTATATTTTTATTATCATCTGTTGCCCTCCTAAAATATAACTTCAATGATAAAGAGATACATATATATGAGATATGTATGAGAAATATAAACTCCATGAGGAATATTATATATATGTATAATATGCTTTTAGAGTTCTGGTAGATATCTATGTTTATAGATATAGACCTATATCTGTCATTCTATATCTATATTGTCTGTACTGTTTTGTCATTAGAAGAGCACAAATTCAATATAAACTTGATGAATGACTAAATAGACAAATGAACCTTATAACTTGGGGTAGGGAGTTTAAGAATCTCTGCTCTATGCTTCACAAGCCTTTTCTCAGGATTGCTGAATCACCAGAGAGCAATATACCCTTTTATCTCAGCTCCCTGAAGAAATGCCTTTAGTGAAATATGATTAAATGTTATGCCCTTAGCTTTTAGAGAAATGTCTATTTGAACAGTGATTTTGTCTTTTGTTATTCCATGACCCCAATTTTAAAACCTTGGCAATAAATTCGTCCTTGAATTTAGTGCCAAAGAGTTTGTCTCTTCAGTCTAAATTATGTTCTTCTGGCCAGAAAATGAGAATAAAACATACCTAGCAATCTCCCTTTGTACCTTAGCTTCCTTGAAATTCAATTCAGTTCAGTTCCTTGCAGTAGTAATTATCGAGGCTGAGGTATATTGTAATATACATTACTCTACTGGTTTTAATTACATTCTGTCCTTGAATTATACAATTTCATATTGCAAATAATTTTATAGGCTTTTAAATATCACTTTGAGAATAGGCAAGTTATAACCTCAAATTAATAAACAGTTAACCAAGACTGTTGTGTGTATATAGTTTGCAATTCAAAAAGAAGTTATTTGATTTTCAGTTAAAAAAGTGATCAGGCCAATATG